ACCCACAGTACCACTTTCCTAAAACAGTTATTGGTGCTAGACATTTATTTATTTTTCTTTCTTCTCTCCTCCTCTCTGCCATTATCCTGTTCCCTGATATCCAGCCCTCAATTTTATACACTACTGCCACCATCAACTTGTCTTGCTAACTAGAAATAGTGAAGCCAGCTACTTTCCCATCAATATAAATCCTGTTACTCTGTTTTGTTGCTACTAACTCAGTGGTTCTCAACAGAGGGTTATTATGTGCCTCCCTCCCCCACACCAGGGGACATTTGGCAATGTCTAGGGACATTTTTGGTTGTCACAACTGGAGGGCACACGGTGTGCCACAGATTTCTAGTAGGTATTAATAGAAGCCAGAGATGCTGCTAATCATCCTACAATATACAAGAAAACCCTTCCTCTCTTGCAATAAGTATCACTAGTATCAAGGTTGAGGAACCCTGCACTAGCTCTATTCAGGCATCAGTCCTGTTTTCTTCAACTCCCCCAGGGTTGAATTTAAACACCCCTCCTCTGAGCTCCTATGATACCTTGTATAACATTTTTTTCACATTCTTTTATTTGCCGATCTTATCAACAAGACTGCACACGCTTGTGTATTATTCATGTCGGTGTTCTCAATTTGTAGTATAGTGCCAAGTACACAGTGAGAGCTTCATAAATAAATAAATACATGCATAGACACCCTCGACTTCTTCAGTGCCTTCCTGGCACTTCCAGAAACCTTCACTACCTCTTGCTTGCTTACTTTTTATCAACCCTTTCCTACCTTTCCCACTCATTATTTATTTCACCAGATATTAGCATGTCAGTCCTATCATACATATATTTAGTTCTTAAGAATGTGGATCTGTCCACATTCAAAATACAGAATTCAAAATACAGAATAGCAGCACTCTAGGCTTTGTTGATAGATCCTTTGAAAACAGCAGGCCTGACCACAAACACTTGTGGCTGGCACATACAGACCATCAACAGTCTATTGACTTGTTCCAAAGAGATGTCCCAAATGAATTCTCATTTGCTTTTGAATCACTTTGCTCCCATCCCCCTGACTCATAAATTCTAAGTGTTTTACCTAGCTAGTGATACCTGGCATCAGTACTTATTTCTATTCTATGTTTCTGCTTATCTCTCGTCATGGCATTTGCATTGCTCAAACCATGCTTAACTGAGCACCTCTGGTCCTTTGTTTGTGCCGCCTAACCCTTGCTCTTTAGAACCTCGCTTTTATACATTCTTCAGATGGCAGTCAAGACACATGTCACATTTCAGAAGCCTTTCCTTAGACCCCAAGATAGAGTGATATATACCTTCTGTGCATCTATAGCACATTGTGCCTACTCCTATAATACTATAAATAGGAATGTGATGGCAATATTTGACTTTCCCATTGAGGTCAGAGTCTGTGCTTTCAGGGCATTCCTGGTGCCTGTTATATATCATGCATGTAATAGGTTTTGGATATATGAGTGAATGGATGAGAGAGAGTACTTCTTCTAGCGTGGAAAAATCACATCAACCTGCCTAACCCCTTCTCCTAGGAGGATGTGGGGTTGAGTCAATCCAAATGTTGAGAGCCTTTGAGGAAGACGGTGCAAGAGAATAAACTTTATATTCACTGGTATGTTTACCATCATGACCAGAGAGTTATACTCCTGGATCGCATTAGCTTAACTCTTTGTTAAGCTAATTGCTTTACTGTGTGGTACTATAGTGATATGCCTTTGGCCTTGATTGAGTGTTTTTACAAAAACTGTGTTTTGAACATACTCAGTTGCCTGTTCACACAGAGAGAGCCCCAAAAAGATATATTGATGACAATAAGCACCTGCAGACATTGTTCTGAATCATGTACCAAACAAACCAAACCCACCATTCCAGGTGCTGGTTTGTGAAAGGAGTGAGTTCTTTCCTCACCAAGGAAATGTGTGTGTTTAAATTTGAAAACAAGCTTTATTGCCTTGAAAGTTGTATAAATATTTTTTAGACTCTCTTATTATAATAAGTAAAACATGATCCAAATTAAAAAGAGGGATCAGATTTCCTTAGGTAGGATTAAGAATTACCATTGTGGTTTGCTTTATTGTTGTTGTTTTTGACATTAAAATGTCATACTTAACAACTTGTTTTCTTCTGCATCCACAGAGTGTAGCATGAAACTCCAATGAGAAATTTTTATGGTCAACTTTGTGATTGGGGGTACTTCTGTACATATTGAACTTTATGGAACATCCACAAACTTTTACTCATCTACCCAAGCCTGAATTAGAGAACTGTGGACTATAATCAGACAGTAGTGAATTCATATCTGCCTCCACCACTTACCAGCTGTGTGACTCAGGCAGGATACCTAACCTGTAAGCCTAAGTTTCCTCATTTCTAAAATAGATTGCATGGGGGTTTTTTGGTTTTGTTTTTGTTTTTTTACAGAGTCTCACTCTGTTGCCCAGGCTGGAGTGCTGTGGCGTCAGCCTAGCTCACAGCAACCTCAAACTCCTGGGCTCAAGCAATCCTACTGCCTCAGCCTCCCGAGTAGCTGGGACTATAGGCATGCGCCACCATGCCCAGCTAATTTTTTCTATATATTTTTAGTTGGCCAATTCTATTTTTAGTAGAAATGGGGTCTCACTCTTGCTCAGGCTTCGAACTCCTGACCTTGAGCGATCCGCCTGCCTTGGCCTCCCAGAGTGCTAGGTATGAGCCACTGCACCAGGCCAGATTGCATGTTTTATATGCATAATAATAGTCTATTCTCATCATCATTACTGAAATCTCATCATTAGAAATTCATTTCAGTAGGTTAAGAAACCCCTAAATGCAATTTTCTTTCTTAAAAACACCTTTATAACAACTAAGGTTATATGCAAACACACTGGTAGTGTGACCCAATAGCAAAGCCTGAGAAGGGCTGTTTGTGAGAGAGTGGGAAGAAAGGATAGAAGGGGACTCTGTACAACTAGGTAGCACCCCAGAATCCTAGAGGGAGATAAATCTTCAGGCAATTAGATCTGAAACAATTTGGCCTTGACCTCAACGTTTGACCTCAACCCCCTCAGAATCTGAAAGCCATTTCCCCTAACCCTTCATTTCCCTCCTGTCAGGTTATTAAATATGAAATGTCCAATTTCAAATCAAAAGTGTAGTTTACTATGTCTCAAACAAGAAGCAATACAATTAATCAAAGTATGTGCTTAAACTATCGACACAGTGTTGCCCTATTAACAGTAGCTTACGCCAGCAGTAAAGAAGCCTGGATCGCAAGTGGCAATGCAATCACAAAAGGTGTTTTCCAAAATTTGTTGAGAATTGTATATGCTCATTGGAGCATTTTGAATTTCAGATTTTTGGATTAGGAATGCTCAACCAGTAAGCATATAATGCAAATATTCCAAAATCCAAAAAAATTTGAAACATTTCTGGACCTAAACATTTAAGATGAGGCCGGGCGCAGTGACTCACGCCTGTAATCCTAGCACTCTGGGAGGCCGAGGCGGGCGGATTGCTCGAGGTCAGGAGTTCAAAACCAGCCTGAGCAAGTGCGAGACCCCGTCTCTACTATAAATAGGAAGAAATTAATTGGCCAAGTAATATATACAGAAAAAATTAGCCGGGCATGGTGGCACATGCCTGTAGTCCCAGCTACTCGGGAGGCTGAGGCAGTAGGATTGCTTGAGCCCAGGAGTTTGAGGTTGCTGTGAGCTAGGCTGATGCCAGGGCACTCACTCTAGCCAGGGCAACAGAGTGAGACTCTGTCTCAAAAAAAAAAAAAACATTTAAGATGAGGGCTAGCACTCTGGGAGGCCGAGGCGCGCAGATTGCTCAAGGTCAGGAGTTCAAAACCAGCCTGAGCAAGACCCCGTCTCTACCAAAAATAGAAAGAAATTAATTGACCAACTAAAAATATATATACAAAAAATTAGCCAGGCATGGTGGCGCATGCCTGTAGTCCCAGCTACTTGGAGGCTGAGGCAGTATGATCGCTGAGCCCAGGAGATTGAGGTTGCTGTGAGCCAGGCTGATGCCATGGCACTCACTCTAGCCTGGGCAAGAAAGTGAGACTCTGTCTCAAAAAAAAAAAAAAAATGATGAGGGATAATCAACCTATACCTTATACTAATTCTTTTTTTTTTTTTCAAGTCGTTGTTTTACACAAAGCCTTTAAGCACTTTTTTTTTTTTAATTAGTATTGCTGAAAACAGTTACATATTTGCATTACCATCTTTGCTTCATGGTATCAGAGACCTCTTGGCACTTAATTTTTTCTCCTTTCTGGCAGAATATTGTTGTCTTGGTTTGTTTTGTGCTGCTCTAACAGAATACCACAGACTGGATAATTTATAATGAACAGAAATTTACTGGCTTATGGGTCTGGAGGCTGGGAAGTCCAAGATGGAGGGGCTGGCATCTGGTGAGGGCCTTCTTATTGCATCATCCCATGACAAAAGGCAGAAGGGCAACAGAGGATAAGGAGGAGAGGAGAGGGAAGATATGCTCAGAAGATTTAATCTTTTGTAGGTGGTGATGTTTTAAATTCTAATCTTAAGAAGAAATGTTGGTCCTTAGGTCAAATTGACTATATAGATGGTATATTTTGATCTGATATGAGAAGGCAGGAATTTCAATGGCAAACATAAAAGAGCTATGAGGTATAAAGATCTTTTGAGCACCATATAATGCTATCTAATTACATGTGGTATCCAGGAATTCACTGTAAGATGCAGTACATAGCTAGCTATGAAAGCAATTTTAAGGTAAATTTTTATTTACACTGCAGATATATTATTCCTCTCTTCCTATAAAATATCTTCAATATAACAATTTTAAAATTTTCTACAATTTTTATTTTGTAAAGAGGATAGGCCAGTAACTAATGTATCCACTTGCTGATTAGCACCATATTGAGTCCCCCAAATGACCAGGCATTATGAATGACTCTTCTTTAAAAGGAATGATGAGTGTATAATAATAAGTTTCTTTCTTTCTTTTTCTAGCCAAGGACCCTTGTCGTCCATCAGAGCAGTAATCAAGAGATGTAAGTTTGTTTTTTCCTGTTCTGTATTTTCCTCTGTAATAATTTTAAATGATGATTTAGATTTCCATCAAGTGGTTGCATTTGATGAATCTACAAAGAACCTAAGAAGGGTAGCTTCTAAGAAGGAATAAAGCATTTTGGACAAACAGCAAGTTTTCAACTTTTCATTTGTTGATAAGCTAGTTTCTCAGAACAATTGTTTTCTCTTATGAAAAGAGGACAAAGATTTTTAAAAAAAATCTGGCTATCTAGTTAGTTTTGTTTCTGTAATCTCATATAAATTTTATGTAACTATTTTCTATAGTTAGAGACATCTTATAGGTTTAAAAAAATATTAAATCCTGTGCTTTTTGGTTCATTTTCTTCCATGTTTCTCATTATAATTTTTTTTTAACTTTATAAATGCCTATGAGGGTAGGCTTATACTACCACATGCAAGACAGAAGTGCTATGAAGAATTCCTTCCAAAATGGCATATTCATACTTTATCTTTACCTCTTGGTTAAAGCTTCAAAACTTGCTCTTGGTATGGGGTTTTAACACTCTTTTTTTAATAAAAGGCTTTGGAAAGGTCCCTTTCCCAAATAGAACATGGATTACATGTTATAGAAAAAAGATAAAGATAAGATTTTGGATATTCTTTGCATTTTCTGAATTGAGGTCACCACTCTGAGAAGAATGTAGCCTATTTTTAGAAACAATTTTTAATATTTATTATGAATTTAGAGTGTCCACAAATCATAGAGAACATGCATTTGAGCCATACCAGGAAAATTTTACAAGGTGGCAAAAGAGAAAGATATGCCCCCACTCCATTTTTTTTCTTTGTTTGTTAATTATAAAGATGTGTGAATGCCATAGTGTATGATGAAGGGAATTAAGACAAAAAAATTAAAAATTCAGGATAGCTTCACATAACTTAGAATACTTGGAGTCTTACACACATCTTCTATAATGTGAAAAAAAAATACTTGGGGTGAAGTTGGAGAGGAGAGGAGAAGCAGGGAGAGAATTTAAATAAGAAATTAGAGTGTAGGCTGGGCATAGTGGCTCACACCTGTAATCCCAGCACTTTGGGAGGCCAAAGTGGGAGGATCGCTTGAGCACAGGGGTTTAAGACCAGCCTAGGCAGCATAGCAAGACCCCATGTCTACAGAAATTTTAAAAAATTAGCTGGGCATGGTGGCTTGTACCTGTAGTCCCAGCTACTTGGAAAGCTAAGGCAGGAAGATCACTGGAGCCTGGGAGTTCAAGGCTGTCATGAGCTATGATGGTGCCACTGCACTCTGGCCTGAGCGATAGAGCAAGATTACTGTCAAGAAAGAGAGAAAGGAAAGAAAGAAAGGAGGGGAGAGAGAGAGGGAGAGGGAGAGGGAGAGGGAGAGGGAGAGGGAGAAGAGAAGAGAAGAGAAGAGAAGAGAAGAGAAGAGAAGAGAAGAGAAGAGAAGAGAAGAGAAGAGAAGAGAAGAGAGAGAGAAAGAAAGAGAGAGAGAAAGAGAGAGAGAGAATAGGAAGGAAGGAAGGGAGGGAGGGAGGAGAAAATAAAGGAAAAAAATTAGGGCCTAGAATTTAGGCAAGGATTTCTTGGCTACAGATATAATTTGGGGTGATCAAGGTTATAGGCAAAATCCTGGAAGTAGCTGAACATTTAGGGAGAAAATATATGGGATAGAAAAGATAACAAGGGATAGACTCTTGGGAAATGTTGATGTCTAAGGCCAAGGTATGCCTTTAAGGGACTATAAAGCAAAAGATTTATAACTCAATAAACCCAGCCCTGCTAAAGAGAAGGGTCTCCTTTCACTCAATCATGTCTACTGGCTCCTGTCTTTATTCCCTGGCATCTTATCTCCCTTTGAGTTTCAGGACTTCTTTGTTAGGATGGTAATCTATACTGACTTCCCATAGATCCTCCAGGATGGATCTTGCTTACCCTCAGGCCCCTGGATAAGACTTAAGGAGAATACAGCTAAGAAGTGGACAAATGAAAGCTGAAGAAGAGTGGGCAGAATAATAGAAAAACCAGGAGACAGCTGCGTTTTAGGGGTCGAAGGAGAAGAAGATTTTGAAGGGAATGGGTGAACCACCAATAGCTCTCAGTGCTGCAGCAAGGCCAAGCCAAGGGTGGCCAAGAATAGGTCATTAGATGTGGCACGTAAGAGGTCGATGGAGACACTTGAGAAAGCAGTTTCAGTAGAACACTGAAGTTGGAAGCCACACTCCACTTTGAACAAGGAGTGGAATATATGGAAGTTGGGACAGCTGGGGTAGGCTACTCTTTTTTGAAATTTGGTGGTAAACAGAAAGAGATGGCGGGGCTGTGGTTTGAGAAGGTTGCCGGATCAGGCAAAGAGAAAATTCAAACATGTTCATAGACTGTTTAGGATGAGGAGACGTGAAGACGTTTGTAGGCAGCAGGGAAGCAATCAGTGGAGAGATGAGACTGGAGCATGAGAGAAGAGGAAACTGGTGGAACAGGGCCCTAGCAGAGAGAGGAAGGAGGTGGTAAAACAAAGGAGAAACCCCTGCTTGGGGTGTCTTATGTTTTTTGTTTTTTAATTAATCCACTTGTCTTTGAATTCGCATATGTTAGTCACCTGGTAACACTAAAGAAATACTTGTTTGTATTTATTCCTGATATTTAGGCAAGAAGGCCAAACAGAGCTTTCATGATGGCCTACAAACACAGAATGTAGAATAATTGTGTTATCCCCCTTTCTTTTTCCCTTTTTGCCTATTCTGTAAGAAAAGTTGTAAATAATTTTCATCCTAACTAGACCATTAAAATGGTTGTATGTTTTTGTTTTTTTGAGACAGGGTCTCTCTCTGTTCTCTGTCACCCAGGTTAGAGTGCAGTGCAATCATAGCTCACAGCAACCTCAAACTCCTGGACTCAAGTGATCCTCCTGCCTCAGGCTCCTGAGTAGCTAGGACTATAGGTGCACACCACTATGCCCAGCAATTTTTTTTTTTTTGGTAGAGATGGGATCTTGCTATGTTGCCCAAGCTGACCTTGACCTCCTAGCTTCAAGTGATCCTCCTGCCTCAGCCTACCAAAGTTTTGGAGTGATAGGCATGAGCCACCATATCTAGCCTGGTGAAGTTTTTTGGTGTGTCCTAATTGGACATATCTAGAATTTTATATTCTTCCTCTCATTAACTTTTTAAGAGACAATTATTTTCTGAAATTCAGATTTAGTTAATAGTAATTACCTACCATAAGTCAGGAACTATTTCACATACATTATAAAATAATATTCTGCATGGTAGCTGCTAATCCCATTTTACAGATGGTAGGGAAACTGAGTCTCAGAGAGGTTAAATGGCTTCACAAAATAAGAGCTGAGATGTGAACCTAGGCTTCTTGACTTCAAGGCCATTGAGCTTTCCACTCCACAGATGTTCCTGTTATTGTGTTAAATGCATGTAGCTCATACCCTGTCCCAAACAAATGTAGTCAATGACTTCTTTATTATTATGAATTTCATTGATAAGGTAGTTCTATGGCTATTCTTCTATGTGCTTATTTTCTTCCAATTGGTAATTTTGAATTATTTAAAATCGGGATTAGCATCCCACTCTCCTGGCTCCACAAGGAGTTAAACTGCTTTAAGAAACAGCCTGCTCTCAGCCATGTCCCTAATGGGCTGTTGGACCTGGGATAATTGATTTAACTTCACTCTATCTCAGTTTCCTCCTCTGTGAAGTTTGACCAAGTTGATCCATCACTGAGGGTCTTTCCATGCTTATGATCCTTCTGGAACTCAGAAGGATTCTTTATTGGTGGTAATATTGCAAATCCACATCTCAACTCTTTTGTAAATAACTTAATATGAGTGTGTCTTGTACTTAGAATTTAAGCACTTGAACTAGAAAAGTTTAAAAATAATTCTTTAAAATGATAGGATAACTTTAACTGAAAATACTGCTTTTTTTCTGTGGCATTAACCCGAAATGCACATGAGACTAACAACTTATGGCATAGAGGTTAAATGGGACATGTTGGTCTGTATGGACATTGGTGGGAAATTTGATTCTCCTGGCAACAACTACAGCAAATCTGTTTAATCTGAGAAAGTGAGAAGTGGATAGTTGAGAAATTAGCAGGAACAGTGTGAAAACCCACATGAAAATCCAACATGAAATCCGAAGTGTTTCTCGCTATTAAATTGTTTAGCACTGACAAAAAGTGTCAGTCATTCCAAAAGGATCAAGAAAGAGAGAGAGTTCATAGAAGATGAGTAGATGTGAAAAAAAATCAGAGAAGGGAGGGGAAAGCAATGATTCTCAAAGGATGTGTAGAAGGAAATCTGTAAGTATGACTATGAGACCTCTCTCCTTGTTCTGCTGCATCAAGAGTGGCAATACTTCTCTGCTGCCCATGGGGGGCTGTTATTAATACTAATCACCTCTGGTGCGAAGGGGCAGAATCAGGTTAAAAGCCACTGGTTTAAAACAACATAAATCAACTCCTGAATTACCTTTTAGGTATTATTCATACTTTAAAATTTATCCTTATTGAAATAGCAAATTGATTTTGCAAAATGATTTTTAGATTTTTTATTTTGCATTGTTGTTAGAAACTACAGGCACGTTTTTTTTTTGACTGTGGTTACATGTGTGGATGTCCTGGTCTGTAAAGGCAAATCTTTGCAGCAACTTATTTCTTTAATCTCTGAAACTATGGTTAATCAACTTTTTTTCCATCTTAGTGTTCAGGGTAGGGAAAAACAGTGGCATGGCAAGACAGCCTTGCTCCTGAATTCCTTTGAAAGCTTAGGCAACTGGGTTCACTCTTTTTTCTCCCTTTTCTCTTCTATAACCCCTTCTTTTTTTCTCTTAGCACTCATGAATAGTGCACAGCAAAAATGCCCCATGGAAGAGGTATGTTTGTGACAATAACATGAAGTCTTTTAAAAGTGCTATGTCTGCTGATTCCAGCTTTAGAGATAGTGGTGATTTGATTGTAGCACAGTTGGGTGAGCCTCTGACTTAATGAAACCACTCTTACCAGTCAGACATACCATGCAGAGCTCTGTATCCTCTTTTATTCCAATAGACAAAATGTACTGCAGCTTGGTTTAGCTCTTGATAAAAATATAATAGTCAAACCAGTTGATGATATGAATATAAGGATATCTTCCAAGTTGAGATTCAGTGGTTTTGGTTTCAGATGTTAGAGATTTGCCTTGCCACCCAGCACGGGTTCACCTGTCACAGCTCCAATCCCAGCCTAAATGTCATTCCCACCCCCCATCTCCACTCATGCCTCCCCCAGCTTTGGCAGCCTCCTTGTTCAGAGAGAAGCAGAAGTTAATAGGAGAAAGAAAGAAAAGGTCCATACTTTTAATCTTTTCAAATGAAAAGAATTAAAATAATGGAGTATTGGAGAGAGATGAAAGCAACTGGTTGAAATAAATTATATCTGAAATAAATTCCCTTTGTGCACAAATCTTTACAGTATAGTATTGGAAGATTTTTTTCCAAAGGGACCTTTAGAATATGCTCCTTTAAAATAGAGATAATGTTCTCTATTACATAGAAATTGACCCGATATGTGACATATTTCCCAGATTGTTTAAGACTTGATTTACTTTATACAATAAAACTTGGAAAAAATTTAAACTATCATTATATTTAATAACTGTCTTCTTTTCTCTGTTCATTCTTCAAATTATTTTCAGAACCACAGAATGTGCTTTGGGGAGTTTTTAAAATCTATATTTTCTTATGCAATTCAAATATATAATTGCAATTAACTTTATGCCAATAAAAAGACCATTTTGATTTACTTTTCTACTAAGGAATATTAAAATTTATACATTCTATATGATGTCAAGTATAAGCTAATTTTTTCCAATTGTACTTTATAAAAATTTAAACTTTTACCAAATGTACTGATTTTGTACTAAACCAGTTTATTCTTTCTTATATAGCTTCTCGGACTTCTATTCAGAGTGAACTTCATCGAGATAGGAGGTATGGTTATATTTATAATAGAGAGCATATATTCTGCTAATTATTGAAATAAAATTGTGCCATCAGTTAGGAGGTTAAATATTTCTATTTTGTATGTTACTCTGTTCTGCCTCATCGGTACATCTCCTGAATAAATCTATAAGTTTGAATGATGAATATTTTGCCGGAGAGAAGTGATACAGCCCTGAAAATGTTCTTTTGATTTGTTATTATTTACTAAAGTTAATTTTCTAAATGTTTATTAAACAATGCTACATGTAAAGCATTGTTATAACTGCTACGAAGAAATGCTTTGTACCTCATAGCTACCTAGTAAATGTTGCCTAGATAAATGGATGGGTAACAGGATAGAAAATTGAATGGAAGGGTAAGAAAGGAAAAGAGGCAGGCAGGAAGGATAGATAGCTGTATGAATAAATGGTGGATGGCAGGTTGCAGAAAGGAAGTGAGAAGAGAGTAGCTGGAGAATAGAAGGGAAGGACCAATGGACAGACAAATAGATAAGTAAAATGGATGGAAGGATAGATACGTGGACAAAGAGAAGAATGGAAGGGTAGACAGGTGGATAAGTGCATAGAGAGATTTTTATAGGTCATGGTTCCTGCTTTAAAATTTCTTACAATATCGTATAGAATAACGAAGAGGAAGGACTTTAGAGTCAGACAGAACCAAGTTCAAATCTTGACTTCACTATTTCACTCCATGTGACCTTGGTCAGGGTGGTTAACCTCATTAGCTTCTGTATCCTCATCTTTAAAATAATGCCAGTCATTCACAAGGTTGTCATAAGAATAAATGCATATATGATACTTAACATTTTTTAAGTAGTAACTCTATTTAATTAAACAAAAGCTATAAGCAGAGGTTTTTACGGAATGCAGTTCAAGTTTAATTTTTTTTTTTTTTTGAGACAGAATCTCGCTTTGTTGCCCAGGCTAGAGTGAGTGCCATGGTGTCAGCCTAGCTCACAGCAACCTAGCTCACAGCAACTCCTGGGCTCAAACAATCCTGCTGCCTCAGCCTCCCAAGTAGCTGGGACTACAGCCGTGCGCCACCATGCCCGGCTAATTTTTTCTATATATATATTAGTTGGTCAATTAATTTCTTTCTACTTATAGTAGAGACAGGGTCTCGCTCTTGCTCATGCTGGTTTTGAACTCCTGACCTCAAGCAATCCACCTGCCTCGGCCTCCCAGAGTGCTAGGATTACAGGCATGAGCCACCATGCCCAACCCAGTTCAAGTTTAATTAATGGTCAAGTTCTGCTGTTTCACAAGCTTCATGACAGTGTGCATATACACAATTTTGGTAATGACAGTGCTTTTTAATTTTTATTTGCCATAGAGTGCTAGAGAAAAGCAGAGCAGGTATCCTTATTTGTTAGGTGAGAAAACTGAAGCTCAGAGATGTTGGTTGATTTGCTCAGCAGGATCATACAATTGGTGTTTGTTAGGAAATCATGTTAAAGACAAAATTTAAACATGAGAATGTAGAATCAGTTTAAGAATAGGATGAAAGAAGTCATGCCTAAATCACTATGGCTCCTCAGTATTAAAGAGTAATCATCATATCATATCCAAAACTGATCAGGAACACAGAGACATATATCAGGGTCTAGAAGTAAACATGTAAACCCAAAACACTTCAAAGATAACTTTGAATTGGGACAGAAATGGGGTGAGGAGGAAGAGGTAATTTTTATATGGTAATTTTCATTTTGGAGTATGTACCATGTAATAACAGAAAATCAAACAATTCCATTTGACCAGTATGTTTTTCTACCATTCACTATATGCTTGCCCTATAGGCTGATAGCAGCAGACAGAACCCTGGAATGAACAGATTGTATGGGCCTTACTTAATTCTTATCCTTAATAGCTAAGGCAGAGTCAAGTGTGCTCAGAGTACATATCTCTAACTTTTGGAGGCCAAAATCATAGAGGATGTCTGTCATTTGCTGTTTTGCAGCCTGTCACAGGTCATTTCTGTGAATGTGGTTGTTCTTATAACTTTTTGGGTGCTGGTGGTTTTCATGAATCTTTGAGCATTTGCAGATAGAGGGACAATAGCTTGTTACCAACATGCAAAACCTTACTGAGGCTTCTGTCCACTAGGCGCCCAGAGATCACCATTGTGGCAGCTGAGCCATTGAGGCCAGCCTCGTGGTTTCCAGGAGCCCCACCCCCAGGACTGGGATTTTCCCCATCTTCTGCTGCAGGCCCTTGGAGGCCAAGTGAGCTGGTTCCTGATGAGGTAAATAAACATTCTGTTATCTCTTTGCCTGTTTATTTTTGAAATGAAATTCAGTGATAAGAACAGTGAGACTTGGCTATTGCCCATAGATGTCTAAAAATCTTCCTTCTTTGTTTTGTAGCTCCCACCATCCTATGAAGAAGTCATAAAAGAAATAAACCAAGTTCAAGTTAATACTACAAATAATAATAATGCTGCTGCCACTCCAAGGCACACTATTACTTCTGCAACTCAGACTGACTTTTCAGAAGAAATAGACAACGATCTGCCTCAAAGTAATGCGAGTAATTTGTCTTCCCTAATTCTGACCTACATCTATGGAAGTAATCAGTAGGCTTCCATCCTTTAAAATAATTTGCAATGTGTGCATAAGTCATTGAGCTCCGCTTCCCAGTCAGTATGATCACTGTGTGCTTACTTTCTTTGAGTATGCAGTGGTTATTATAATCATTCTCACAAGCTGCAGCCCTCATCTATTGGGTTCATCCTAGTTTATATCACAAAAACATCATCTGTTTAACTCATGGTGCATATTAATGCTGATACCCTTTATTTCCATTGAGAAGCATGTTATATTTAGCAACTTAAACTTAGGATAGCATACTAAGGGTGACTGTCCTATTAGTCTTTTTAAAAGGATTGTATTAGGGTGACAGAGATAAGAGTAAGATGCTTTGGAAAAGTAAAGGATTAGAAATGTTAGAATTTTGACAACCAGAGAGAAATAATTCCTTTGATAAGTCTGATGAGAATCAGGAATTTAATGGTGTTTTAAGATATTATATAATGAATGTTTCTTATATGAACCAATATAACTTGAAGAACACTTCTGCAAGCTGAGTATAAACATTTTCCCACTTTTTACTGACTAAGGAAACCCAAGTCTCTTGATATTCCACATATATGGTTTTAAAATTCTGTATATCGCCTATATTTTTTTCTTTTGAATTGTAACGTGGCAATTTTTTTTGTTGTTTGGTCTTGTCAGCATTCCAGGCACCTCTCAAGCCTCTCCAGCCTTCCCCAACAGTCTCATCTGGCAATCTTTCAACAAATGTGGCACCTTTAATAGTTTTTGATATTTCTGAAGAACAGAATTGTCCAGAAAATACCAGTGCTACAAGATGTCCAGTGCCAAAACCAAGATCAAAAAGCAACCTCAGACCCGTAGCCAGAGATACTCAAATTAAAGAGCAAAGTTACCAGAAAATCAGCCCAGCAGCCACAGAAGAGGGGTCATCCCCAGGCCGGCCCCAGTCTCTGTCAGTCTCTGAAGCTGACAATACCAACAGTTTAGACAGTCAGGCAGTGATGAACATTATGAACACAGAACAAAGCCAAAATCGTATTGTTTCAAGAATCAAAGCATTTGAAGGTCAGACAAATATAGAAACCTCAGGGCTGCCCAAGAAACCAGAAATTACTCCCCGTACACTTCACTCAAGGCCTAATGTTTCCTCGGGGAAACCCTCTGTGGCTCCTAAACCAGCTGCTAACAGAGCTTCTGGAGAATGGGACTTTGGGACTGAAAGCAGACGTAGGGTGACCTCCAAGGAAGGGCTCACCCCATACCCCCCACCGCAAGAAGTGGGAAGCATCCCAGTAACCAAACCTGAATTGCCAAAGAAACCAAATCCTGACCTTATACGAAGTGTTAATCATGAGATAACGGGAGGAGGGCCCCTGGCAGAGAGCTCTGATGCGGGAAAGAAAGTCCCAACTCCTGCTCCACGGCCTGTGCTGCCGAAGAAATCAGTTTCCTTAGAAAATCCCACCTACCCTCCACTGAAACCCGTCACTGTTCCTCCCCGACTTTCAGTGGCATCACAAGCCAAAGCATTCAGGTCACTGGGAGAAGGGCCCCCGGCTAAGCCCCCAGGTCCAGTTCTGCAGAGCAAGCCTCTGGATGATATCAACCTCATCAGCTTTGATGATGATGTTTTACCCACCCCATCTGGGATCCTGGCTGAAGAATCTATTGGTTCAGAGATGGTTCTAGGTGAGTAAAAATCAGAAGTGGAGGGGAATCTAAACTCATCATGGGATATCTTAAACGGCATTTGCTGTTTTAGTTTCTAGCTATATAAGTTACTGAGGTACGTGTGTGCACATACACATGCATGTGTGTGTATAGAGACAGAGTCAGGGATGAACAGAGAGAGATTAAGAAACATGGAGCTAGGAGGGGAATGGAGATAGAGAGAGAAAGAAAAATATAGGATATGGGGAAGGGAAATAGAGAGAAATGGGGAAACACACACATCCATTAGTATTATATGAGCCAAAAGGAAGCAGACAGGGCCAGGGACTAAACTAGGTTGTGGGGCTGGCTCTTGTTCTGGCAGGTAGATGTTCAGGCTTCACAATGAAAGGATCCAAGGAGGTTGGGGGATTGTGGCATTAGAAAGATGCAGAGGAAACTTCTCATAGATGGGAAGCCATGCAGTGGCCCCAGAAGGGCTCCTCAGGTGGAACTGGCCCCAGTTGGGAGTGCTAGGAGAAAGGCCGGCTCCAGGGGAGGACTGTGACAAGACCTATGTAAGGAGTGAGGAACCAGCCACATGTTAGGAAGTTTTTTTCTGTAATCTTCACAGAACATCTCCCCTGGGGAATGCAGAGTTTTATAAATAAAATTCAGCAGTTGTAACTTTGCTACAAAGATTGGGACAATTAGATTTCCCAAGAGGCAGAGTGTGTTTTCCTTCCTCACACTGTTCAGATGGAGGGTGTTATGGTAAAGCTTATCTTTGATTTGTCAAACTAAGCTGCTCTACTTGTCATTGATAAGATTCCTTTTATTAGTGTTTACTTATTTGGATGGAATTTGTGAACATATGAACTTAATAGTATTTTCAAAAGGTTAACTGTCATCTTATAAATGTTTAATATGCATCAAAATGGTACAAGCTGTGATTTCAACACCAAATTCTGCACTGCACAGGTGCATTTTAAATGACAAAAAACACATACAGTACTTATTAAATATTTATCATGCACACAACATTGTAACTGGCAATAGCATATAAACTAAGAGACATGCCTCTTATCCTAAAAGAGTGGAAGGAAAAACATTAGACTATATTGAGCTTCTGCAATGTACCTAATGCTCTGCCAGATACTTAGACATACATTATTTTAATATTTACAGCAATGCTCTGTGAGACATCATTGGCCTCAGTTTGCAAATGAAGAAAATGAGGCTGAGAGACATCAATGGATAATTTGCCTACTGTCATGAAACTAACAATTTTCCAAGCTAGGATTCAACTTGGTGTTTTTATTCTAAGTCTAGTTTATTTTTCACTATATCATGTTACTACCCAACATTTTCATGAATCCCTAACCAGGCAACACTTTAAAAACTTTTCAAGTCTTTGTCAATATCATTTTCTTATATAAACTTTTTTGGTGTTATGAGCTTCAGAGAAGGTCAAGGATGAATAAATCCAACAGCAGCAAGCTGTTAAGGTGTAGAAATAGTACAAGCCAAAGAAATATTGCCTTTTATTGCACCTGCTAGATTCTATGAGGATGGCAACTTGGTTAATAATTGCTGAAAACAAAATAAGCAGATAATTATAGTCATTTTCAAAAAGAAAGGTCAACAGTATACTTTCAACATGAACGTAGTTTCATGCTTCATACTCAGCCTTTTCTGCTTCTCGATTTCTGTCACTTTATTGCACAACATTTAATTATTGAGGCAGTCTTATAGCAAAATGTGTAATTTGCTTGCCCTATCCGACTTTAACCATTGCTCTTGACTGTGGAGTTATACTGAACTGAATACTTTATATGCTTCCTAAACCTGTTCCTCCTCCTGTATTTTGCACCTCACTAGTGACACCATCACACACCCAGCCTTCCCTAGAGAAATCCAGAGGTCATCCCTGAGTTTTCTCACCATGTCACACAGAGCCTACCATCATTGCTGTGTTACCTTGGGCAATTTACTTAACCGCACAGTGCCTGGGTTTCCTCATCTATAAGACACATTACTACTACCCTTCCTGGAGGCTATTGCAAGGGTTAAATGTGATTATGCAGAAAAGCCCTATCACATTGTCTGACACATGGTGACCATTAAATAGTAGTTATTATTGTTACTTCTGGCTTCATATCCAGTTAATTACCAGCTCCTGCTGGTGTTATCTTCTGAATAGTTCTTGACTCTGCCTCTCATTTCCATCCCTCCTTGTACTGCCCCACTTTAGGCATCTATGCTCAGATTACTGCAGTGACCTCCTAAATTGAGCCCATTCAAACAAACCCATCATCCAAGGGATTTTACTAGAGTGCACACTGGCCCTTATCGCTTCCCTACTTATTATATCCAAAGGCCTTCAGGATCACCTCTGCACTGCTCAACATGTGGAGGGATTTTTGTTTGTTTGTTGACTTAGGGCTTTGTGACCTTTTGATGGTATTTCAGTAGCACTGTCATTGTAAATAAATGTTTATAATCTCTTTGTGAAACCTTGCCTAATCATTCAGGCATCAGCCAGACACTGGGAGAGGAACGCAGGAGAAAGAAGAGTAACTCACAAATATGTCTTTCCTTCTCTTTCTCTTCCCTCAAAAATAAAGAAAATCTAATAAAATAGTGTGCATAAAATGAAGTTGCCATATTAAGCTCAGATAATAGAGATCAGAAAATACTGAAGCTATGAAAACATTGTAAAGATTAGAAAAATTATTAAAGGAAAACTCATAAAACCAGCAATTTAATACTGGATTCATTTCTTGGGTAGAATGCCTTCCAGGTTAATGTAATGGAGCTGAGAAGTATTAGCAGTTCCTCTTCACACCTTTACAAATCATACCCAGTTGTCCAAAAAAAAAAAAAAAAGAACGTTTCTGCTGTCAGCCCCATTACATAGACCAGAATAATAGTTTAGCAGTTAATTTCTGGTATTAATAGAACTCAAGGGAAAGAAATGACAGAAAAGCAAGCGAGGGATGGTGAAACTAATTATGATGACAACCATATTATTAGAGACAGGTAATGGGCGGAAAACTACTTTATCATCAATGTTTTTCCCAACCCAGTAATGAAGACCATGTGGATATAGGTGTTAAGAGGCCTTCTTGTTTGGCAGCAGGTGTTGGTGTGATGGGCTAGAAAGAAGAGAGAATAAACACTGCAAATAAGAGTAGACGAAAATGCCATTGACTTCTCTTAGATTTGGATAGGAAATTATTCTGGAGATGCTCTGTGTCTCTTCTATAGAAGCAAGAGCAAACAGTCTGTGATAGAATTATGGCGGCAAGGTTCTTAACCCTTTCTAGATTACAGAATTCTGAGAATCTGATATAGCCTGTGAATCTTTTATCTCCCTTGAAAATAGCCATTAGCTCATGCGTGCACAATTCAAGATACAAATTCCAGAGCTTCCAGGGCCCATTCTGAGCTCCATACTAAGGACTTCTATAGAATATTGGAAATAAACTTCAATGGACTGCTAGGTAAATTATGGTGCATCCATAATAATGGAGTATAGTATGGTAATTAAAAGGAGGTATACCTGTTATCTCCTACTAGGGGTGAACCTCCAAGATATTACTAGGTGAAAAATGCAAGGTACAGGATAGTATTTGTGGTATTTTAGCTACTGTTTGTGTTAAATGTCAAATGCAACATGTTTAGAAAGATGTATAAAAAGTCAGTAGCAAAGGTTGTCTTTCATGAAGGAACTTGATAGACAGGAGAGGATGAGGGAACCTGGTTCTATCCATGTACCTTTTGATCCCTTTCAAATTGCAGACCATGCGCAAGCATTACCTTTAACAAAATAATTAGCAAATAATCTTTCCTAAATAGCTGAATATAAGCATTATTAGGCTGAAAGAAACTGGGAGAGTTATCTTTTTGCTACAGAGAGAGAACTGCTTCCCCCACTGATCCTCAGCCTTGTGAGTAGAAATTTTAAAAACAATAAAATAGTGATTTTTCTAAATAGTTATATTAGTATTATTCAAGGTTACAAATGGAAGCTAATTATTATGAACTTAATATGTCTAAATTATATCAATTAAAAAACATATATCTGTATTATTTCCCTTTTAAATAGAATCCCAAAGAGATTTTCAAGTGGTTTTGTATTGATTTGTTTGGCAGAGGTGTTATTTCAGCTTGAAATTTCTTGTGATTGAATTTATTTTACTGAATTTTTTTTCAGTTACAAAAGTAAAATATATTTGTTGTAACAAGTCAAACAATTCAGAGATTTTAGTAAAAAAAATTAATTTCCGCAGTGGTGCGGCACTAAGACTTCCTTGCCTCGCCTTATGGAGAAAGAAATTTTTTCCCCCAGAGACTTGTACAGTAGAATAATTACACATGATCTGAGTGTCAACTATTAAAGAGCAGCTAATGGTATTAAAAATAAAGGACCAAAAAATAGAGGGTAACTAAGACACTTTGAATGCTTCATAAGTCGCACCTATGCTACTTCGAATGAAATACTTCAGGCTAAAAAAAAAAAAAAAAAGCTGGGCCCTTTAACAGGATAGGTGAGATCTGCCCACTGTGTGTGCAGGATGTGGGGCAGGGTTTCCTGGGGCCAGTCCTCCAACAGCAAGCAGGTTTGGATGCCCCCTGTGGTCAGCCCTTCAAGGGTGCTGATTGGCCTCTTTCCTCCTTTCCCTGCCTCCCTTGTACATGCCCTCACTGCTGGAATGTGAGTGAGTGTGTGTAGGTGTTACACTTTCCCAGAATTTGATTTGAGCTGGGAAACAATTTAAGTCATTCCATGCTCGAGATTTTCTTCCTCTTTCTTTACCCACCCACCCAAAAAACATCATTAACTAAAACTTTATACTAATAACCAACAGATTATAGTTACCAAAAGCCACTGTTAAAGTAGAAATGCCATTTGAAAGGTAGGACACAGTGAATAAGTATCAGAAGAATTATTAAAACACGTCCAATCCAGTTTTTGGAAAGACAAACAGTATCATTAATGGAGCCCTCCCCTCCCTCACACAGCACACTCCTGTATCATTCTGCAACCTGCTTCCCTTCTGCTTTCCTTCTTCCCTGCCTGAAGTTCATCACCTTGCTCTTCTTTTTCCTTTTCCTTTTTCAATAGTACTTCTCACCTTCTAATATACGACATGAATTGCTTTCCTATTATATTTATTGTTTATGGTCTCCATCTCTCTGCTGGACTGTAAGCTCCATGAAGGCAGAGTTCTTTGCTTTGTTCACTAATGTATTCCCAGCATCTAGAAGAGCGTTTGATGTGGAGTAGGCACCCAGTCAGTATTGAATAACAAAAGTGAAAAATAAAATTACGAAGAAATTCATATAAAATAATTCTGGTTTTGTTTTTCAAAATATCTATATAAAAACTATACATCATATTTATAGAAAAATATGTAGAAAGATACACCAAATTTTAGATAATAATACTTGAGAGATGAGATTACAAGATATTTTCTATTTTATATATTAATGTTTCCCATTTTACAACAAATATTACTTTGAAGTAAAAAATTGAGCTATAACAAAATAAGGAATCAAGGAATTTGGTTAAACCTAAAAATAGGAGTTTTGTTTGTTTGGTGGGGAGGGGAAATAGGTTACATGGAAGAAAATTGTATTATTAATACAGTAGTCTTCTATTTTGAGTTTGATGTTATTCTTTTGAAAACCTTGAGTTGGCTTTTTGGACTTAAGACTCATATCACTTGTGAGCTGATAGGTTTCCATAGAGGGGTCATCAAATTCTCTTTTTCTCAGTAACATGGTAATTATTATTTTAGCTAATATGCCACCTGGGAAGCCTTCTTAGGTGATAGATAAGAAACTAAAATAAGATTGTAGTTTACCATCATGTCACCTCACCCAGCACCGTTACTGGAACATAATAAATGTAAATATGTGAGTGAGTGACTAGTGAGAGAGTGATGCCTTTGGCAGGACATATGTGGTAGGATTGCCTGAGAACTGGGTGGAAGGAAAGGGAAGTATTAGGTTGCTGAAAGGGCTTCTTATTAGCTCAGCTCTTCACGCATCCTACAAAGAGCTGGTCAGCAAAAAGGTACTTATTGAACTGCAGCTCATAACAGGCAGAATGTAAATGCTGTTCATCACAGGGGCTATGGAGTTCAAAGTTTTATGGGGAGTATCTCCCTACAGGCAAGATCCATAGAACAGATGCAGAATTACAGCATATACTCATTCTGCCTCTTGTTGAATAAAGGCAAAGGCAGCCTCAAGAGATCTTGTGTGCCGTATAGAATATCTATTTTATAGAGCATTTTATTTTGTTTTTGCTAATCTATTTATTTTTAGGTTTCCCATCTTTTAAAAAATGTTATAGTCATTTTTCCAAACCACTAAAAAGAATGTTTACATTAAAGAAAAAAAAAACCGTTTCTTTCAGTGAAAAGGTTTTATAGCTGTGCTTGTGTTTAAAATGCTTTTTCCTAAGCATACACCATCCATTTAAAATAAAACAGTTAAGATGGAGAAATTCCAAGGGATACATCCTTTCCCCAAAATTAAATATTTGAAGAGACATGTCCTATTTTATTTCTGGGATAAAACGTTCTTCATTTTCATGTTACTGAAGTGTAGTTTTACTAAACTACTAAATTCGAGACTGCTGAGCACCTTCCCGGTGCCAGGCATGGCACTGCAAAGGATGGCGGCCCTTGGTGAGCCCTGTGAGTCAGTGTGTTCCGGTGCAGGCACAGGGGATACAGAGGATGAGAGTCCTTACTCTCTGGGGGATCTGGGAGGCTTCAGAATGCAGGAAACATTGTCTCCTCTTTTCAGTTGCCCCTCATTTTCCGGTGGACACTTATGAAATGATCACTCTCCCCTGGAAGATAGCTTCTACATAATTCAAGATCATCGTGGATCTCTCTCATCAGAGAGAAGAAAAGCTGTATGAATTATTTACAGAGCACTAAGTTATTTCCTTTTATGAGGGCCAACTTTGTTTTTGTCTCTGCAAACTGAGATTTTGTTTATCTATGAATAGTTTTCCCTTGGGCATGAAAAATATGACTCTTACAATATGAATGAGGTTTTTTGTTTGAGTCCATGTTAACTAAAACATGCAAAATAAACTGTGTTTTTCATTAGATCCCTTTCAGCTCCCCATAAAAACAGAACCAACAAAAGAACAAACAGTTCAACCAGCACCCACCAGGAAGCCCACTGTAATTCGAATTCCAGCCAAACCAGGAAAATGTAAGCACTTCTCTGCCTTCTTTATTTGCTTCTTCGAGAGCCTGGAAGAAATATATACTAATTTATCAGTGCCTGCTTTTGAAATATGTGTAATCTGACATTTATTATTATTCATAGTCAAGGACACTTAAAAGCAAATTGTGTTTCTGCAATTCTTTGACAGTTAGTACAGTAAGTTTGGATTTCATTTTTCTTTAATATTATCTTTAGGCAGAGAGAATAGAGGGAGACTGTGAAACTCAGAACAACTGTAGTATCCCATGTTAGTGCCTCTGGTAAGGATTTAATGGGGAAGTAATCAAAATTAATAGCAAATAAAGGTATATATGTCTATCAGGAGTATATTATTCAAATCAACATAATCTTAATATGGCTATGTGTGAATTGTATAAAGAGCAGTAACCAAAAGCTTTAAAAACATATAACGAAGTATAAAAATATTTTTAAACTAGTGTAACGTTACATTTTTATTTACTTCTGTACTTGATTTTTTTGCTTACTTGAATTTTTTTAATGGTACAATGATTAAAATTCTTTATGAGCTTTAATAAGTACTTCAAAAAGAAATCTGATATTTGTTGTAAGGGAGAAGACAAAAGGGCCAGAACTATTTATTTTAGGCCCCAGATTATTAAAATGTGCGGGCAAAAGTGTGTGTGTGTGTGTGTGTGTGTGTGTGTAAGCATACTTGGTAGGTTCACAGTGTTCATTGAAGTGATCACACTGCTCTCTCCATGGGCCTTTGATTTCATTTATACCTGCAATGCCTAGCAACACATAGCCCAGATGTGTTCTTGCCTTTGTCAAACAAAAGATTCTCCTTTCCTCCTAACAGCAGAGTTAAATGTCCCAGTCTTTCACCTATAGCACCCAGGATTGTACTACAAGGATACCCTTTATGTTAGGGATTTGTTTTTTCTATGAAGCACTACTCAAAAGGATAAGATTGGTTTTAGTCTCTTCTTAATGTTTTTGTTAATTGATGGCTTTTAGCCAAGTAGTAAGAATGTTGAACTGGGTTTGCTGTGAAGAATGAGGAGGAGAAAAAGTCAAGAGTGCCAAATTCTGGTGGGTTCTAATTTCTTATATTTTCGTGTTAGAACAGGTTCCATATTTTCTGATGGTGTTATGTAGCCTACAGATCAGTGAAATGATAGCTTGTTGGGTTGTTTGCCTGTTTGTTTGTTTGTTTGTTTGTTTTTTGAGACATAGTCTTGCTTTGATGCCCAGGGTAGAGTGAGTGCCGTGGCGTCAGCCTAGCTCACAGCAACCTCAAACTCCTGGGCTCAGGCAATCCTCCTGCCTCAGCCTCCCGAGTAGCTGGGACTACAGGCATGTGCCACCATGCCCGGCTAATTTTTTCTATATATATTAGTTGGCCAATTAATTTTTTTCTATTTATAGTAGAGACGGGGTCTCGCTCTTGCTCAGGCTGGTTTCGAACTCCTGACCTCAAGCAATCCGCCCGCCTCGGCCTCCCAGAGTTCTAGGATTACAGGCGTGAGCCACCATGCCCGGCCTTTGTTATTATTTTGATAAATCTATTCTGGGTTTTAAAAGACATAGTGAGATATAATGACAATAAATATTGCCAGAGCTCGTGGGTTTTAAGTAATGCAATTTTTACACAAATTTAGTAATACAAATACTTAAATTTATTTTCCTGTTGTGTCAGTAATCCCATAGACCACCTCCAGGTTTGATGATTCTCTAGGAGGATCCACATGACTCAACATATATTTGTATTCATGGCTATTATTTATTACAACAAAAGTATATGAGGCAAATTCAGAAAAGGGAAAAGGCAAATGGGGTGAAGTCTGGAGGAAACCAGGTGAAAACTTCCAAGAGTCTTCTGCTGGTGGAGTTGTATAGGATGTACTTCATTCTTCCAGCAATGAGTTGTGATAACACATGTGAATTGTAAAGCAGGGAAGCTCATTAGAGACTCCATGCCTAGGATTTTTACTAGGGGCTGGTCACATAGGCACTCCTAGAAATTTTGACATGTACCAAAATTCCAGATTCCCAAAAGGAAAGCAGGTGTTCAGCATAAACTATATTCTTCAGTTCTGGGAATGATGGGAACCTTCCCAAAGTCCAAGTTCCCAGATGCCAGCCAAAGACCAATCTTGTATGCAGGCCCTTCTAAGGATATGCAGTTTTTGGCCTATGTTTACTTTTTATGCACACCTGTAAACTGGATTAATAACTCTGAAATCCTGAAAAGGATATGCTGAGGAAGCACCTTTATTATCCTGAAAAATCTCCAGGAACAGTTAGAAAGTTGAATTCTGTACTGCTAGATGTGAGAGAACTGAAGTGACAAAATGATTTCTAGAGAGTTATTTCTATTTATATGAAAAATCAGTTCCCCAGAGCAGTGGCTCATGCTTGTAATCCTTGCACTCAGGGAGGCTGAGACAGGAGAATTGCTTGAGGTCAGGAGTTCCAGACCAGCCTGAGCAAGAGTGAGACTCTGTCTCTACCAATAATAGAAAAAATTAGCTGGGTGTGGTGGCGCATACCCAGCTAATCTGGAGGCTGAGGCAGGAGGATCATTTGAACGCAGGAGTTTGAGATTGCAGTGAGCTGTGATGACGCTGCTGTACTCAGAGAAAAACAAACAGTTCCCCAGAATTTTATTATTACAATTATTAAGCAATGCATATATATTGTGGAGGAAAAAGAATGAGACTTTTGGTATCAGAAGAATTTGGAATGGACAAGAGAAGAAAGGAATAGCTTTGTAGTACAAAAATCCTTGGTTTTCTTTGAACCTGTCAGCTCGTCCCTCAAGACCTGTTTCTTCTGACTAGATTGTCTTTTTCCCAGACATCTGTGTGGCTCCCTCTCTCAAGTGCTCAAATGCCACTATGTCAGTGAGACCTTCCCTGACTATATTATTTAAAATTGGAAATCTACATGTACATCTCATCATCCCATACATACCCACACCAGATACTCCCTATCTCCCTTCCTGCCAGTAATCTATTTCCTGTCTACTTTCATATTACTACTTTGTACCCCTAAATATTTGTCACAACAATACTATATCCTAAATGATTCATTATTTCCTTGTAAGAAATAAGGAAACTGCAGCACAGAGAAAGTCTTCAAGATGGTGACTGAGTTGGATGTTCTTGTGTATGTCTTAATTCCCAGAGCAGCCCTGCCTCTCACTAAGAAAGCTTGCCTGTCTCTAAATCATTGTTTTCCTAGTAGCCGGCCTGGGTATTTTCCTCCCTTTGAGAGTGTTTTCCTGTCTGTGGATAGAACAGAAACCTGACAAATCATCCTCTTGTTATAAGTTTTTCATGTGAAATGGAAGTAGAAGATGTTCATTTGAAAAAAAAATTCCCATCTTCTTTCAGTGCCTAAACTGAACAGTGTAAAAGGCGGCTTTAGACTCCTTTAGTATGCTGCAGTCATCCTCTCTCCACCTACTTTTTGCACATAGATTTACTAATTAAATCTGGTCATCTTTGTTTTCTTCTTTTTAAAATAAGTTGGGACCAGGAATAGTGACTCACACCTGTAATCCTAGCACTCTGGGAGGCTGAGGCGGAAGGATCGCTAAAGGTCAGGAGTTCGAAACCGGCCTGAGCAAGAGTGAGACTCCATCTCTACTAAAAATAGAAAGAAATTAATTGGTCAACTAAAAATATGTAGAAAAAATCAGCCGGGCATGGTGGCACATGCCTGTAGTCCCAGCTACTTGGGAGGCTGAGACAGAAGGATCCCTTGAGCCCAGGAGTTTGAGGTTGCTGTGAGCTAGGCTGATGCCACAGCACTCTAGCTTGGGCAACAGAGTAAGACTCTGTCTCAAAAAAGAAAAATAAATAAATAAAATAAAATAAATTGGGAGTACACTATCACTGAGACAAAGATATGATTTAGATGTAAAGGTATTGTTTGCTTAATTAAGGGTAATTCTCTAATCTGGAGCTAATGAATTAGAAAACACATTTAATTATTTTGGGGTGGGATATACCACCTGTTAAGAAGCAGCATTCTTTTTTTTTTTTTTAAGACAGAGTGTTACTCTGTTGCCCTGGGTATAAGTCAGTAGGGTCATCATAATTCACTGCAACCTCAAACTCCTGGGCTCAAGCCATCCTCCTGCCTCAGCCTCCTGAGTAGCTAGGACTATAGGCATGTGCCACCATGCCCAGCTAATTTTTCTATTTTTGGTAGAGTTGGGGTCTTACTCTTGCTCAGGCTGGTCTCAAACTCCCGACCTCAAGCAATTCTTCCTCAGCCTCCCAGAGTGCTAGGATTACAGGCATGAGCCACCACACTTGGCCAAGAAGCAGCATTCTTTATTAGAATGAGCACAGCACTGGATCTGACAATGACAAGCTCTAAGATTTTGGATAGCTTACTTATTTTTGTAGCTTCAGTTTCTTCATCTGTAAACTAGGTAGGATATTATCTAGTGTAGTACTGTCCAGTAGAACTTTCTATAAAGATAGAAATGTTCCAACTCTGTGCTGGTAGCCACTAGCCACAGGTGAGTACTGAGTACTTGAAATATGGCTAGTGCAACTAAGGAATTGAAATTTTAATTTAATTTAATTTTAATTAATTAAGATTTAAGTTTAAATTGCCATATGTGGCTACTAGCTAGTGGACTGGACAAATCTGACATGTAGATATTAGTTCTAGAAATGTATGTAAATATAGTAACTTAATGCCTGGCACATAGAAGGTTCTTAGCAAATGCTGGTTATTGTTGCATTTATTTAGTATTATTTTCACTCTCTACAAAACATAGAATAAAATTAATTGATGTCAACTAACACATCAATTTTCTGAGGTTTGTTGGGAGCTCTTTCTCATCTGCTTAATTATATATTCTCTGTGTGGATCTTTTATGATAGCCACTTTTCCAAGGAACCAAGCAGTAATCATTTTATTCTTTGGAATTCCAAAGACTAGAAATTATTCACGAATTTTATATTTTTCCAGGTTTACATGAGGATCCACAAAGCCCACCTCCTCTCCCTGCTGAAAAACCTATTGGAAACACTTACAGTATAGTATCTGGAAAACTCAGTAATATTGACAGAACGAGAAACTTGGTAAGTAGTCATTATAGCTTATATTAAGTTGAAGACTAAGCCATGCATTAATTTAAAATACTTAGCTGATGTGTAACTTATTTTACCACTGATTAGATTAAAAAAAAACAACAAAAAAACAAACAACCTTTATTAGAAGCCAGTTTCTAAGTTCCAGGTACTTATTTAATGTCATTTTCAATATTTGAAAAGTCCCCGTAGAGAAATTAGGCCTATTCATTGTAATTCATTATAAAATAATTTGTCCTATGCCGATGTCATATGATTGCCTTTTAAATGATACTGATAATAAGGTAGTTATTAAAAATCTCTAAAAACCTTAAATATTTGTGGAAATAAATTTAGTCAGATAGTCAGTTTTTATTTAAATTATCCAATAAGTGACACTATTTTAAGATGATTACCATAAGAATTTTTTAATCTGAAATTTTAGAAAAAAATTTATTTTTTTAATTTAAAAATATAGAGCTTTACTTTGTACTTGCTAAGATGGTGGCCAAAGAATTTTTTGTGTATATATATTTTTTTATTTCAACCTCAATACTATTCCTTCATACATTTTTAAATTTTCTATGTGGTAGATGATCTTTTAGGCATATTTTAAGAGAAATCAATTCTTAAAGTCTTTGAACCAAATTTTCAGTCCAAATCTCATAATAGTTTTACATTGTGCATTAACTATGCTTATTATGTGGGCAAACTCACCTAATCATCTGGTGAAAAGAAATTTCTTTGAAGGAGACATTAAATTAAATTAGTCAATATCAAGTTAATGAGATTTTCCTGAGGAATGAATTAAAATTTAGTGATCACTTGGATTTTCAAAGTACTTGGTAATAAATTTTTATTAAAACTGGGCCAAGAAAGCCCAAAAGATGATAGTAGGGCCCCTACCATACTATTGTTGAATAGGAAAATCACAAATTTCCATGGAGGAAAAGTTGTTTGAGAAGATTACTGGCTTCTACTCTGTTTTATAAAGGAGCAAGAGGGTGATGAGTAAGTAAATACATCATTTATTAAGTGATAAGATGGGCCTTGTAAACTATAAAGCTCTTCTGAAAATATTAGGTATTATTACGTTAGTGTTAAGCTGTCTACAAGGAACTCCCACATTTTAGAACAACCAGAAAAGGAAATTAAAATAAACTAAACCATCTGGAAAGATACTATATTCATAATTGTGTTTGTACCCCACGTGGACAACATGAGGGAAATCCTGTCCTGCACTGTTTACAAAGGGAGTCAGAGCATTCTGTACTGTACTGAAATAAGTGCATACTATTAATAGCACACTGAGTCTGAAGGAAGAAGAGTTGGGGAAACAGACCACAAGTAAAATGATTTCCCTATAGTCACACGTGTAGATTTTTAGGTCCTGATATTCAAATCTATGCCTAAGAAATTGCTTTTGAGAATTACAATTAATGAATTTTAGACCAGAGGCCATAAGGGCTAAAGGGTTGTCGATGAGGGTCTCTAGAAAGAACACTGCACCAGTGTAGTGATCCACAGGGATAGGCATGATCTTTGCCAACTACATCTCCTGACCGAGGCACGGGACAAAAACCCTTTACTCTTTCTCTTGCCATGAGTCTGGGGAACTTTCCGTCTCAGGATAAGATGGCTGAGTTGTCAGACCTCACTTTCTTCATTTAAATGATGAGGGACCCCAGGGTGAAGAACATCTGGAACCATTCTGTCAGCAGGAGCAGACACCTCCGTGTGCCCTGTTGCCCACCTGGAAATGCAAGGCTTCCTAAACACCCCCCAAGGAGGCTGCTAACCGTACAGGAGGAGAGTCAAGAGCTGCTGCATAGTATGATAAGGAATTAAAGATACAGCACAGAAGCTCACTAATGAGAACAAACACATTCTGTATGTGGAAGAAGGAGACAGGCTGATTCTGAATTCAGGACATAAGAAGTGGTACAAGAAAAGAAGAAACATCTATGGAGGCCACTCAGTAATTCTAACAGACAAGAGTATGGTCTTAGGATAAATAACTGTTTTTTAAAAATATGGCAAAAAATTGGGAAGTTATTTTGAAATTAGAATATAATTTCAATGCAGAGGAACAAAAAGATGGAATCTGCAGAGACAGTACAAGTAGGAAAACCAACTTCACCAGAAACTAAAATGTTTATCCAAACACATTACAAACCAAAGTTCAGGCGTGTCAGAGCTAGAGAAAAACTACCAAAAAGTAGATGCAGAAAGGCTTCAAGTTAGGTGTGGAATACTGAAGAGGAAGAAATTCCTAATCAATAATCTTTCAAAGACTGTCTGCAGAACCTGGGCACAAACCCAGACTTGAACAAACACTAAGACAGTAGCTCCTACAGGAACCGTCTCCTTTTCTCAGTATTTGGAGTATGTCAGATATGGCAGTGCCTTTCAGGATGTGCCTAGCATCCTTCAGGAATTTGAATATACTATTTTTTTTCTGATTTAAAATTTGCACACTGTAAAAAATCGAGAAATTAAAAAGATATTTAAGATTTCCCATAAAAATACCACAACCCTGGGAAAATTAATATTTCGTACAAAAATTGGATCATATGCTATGTATTTTGTACAGTACATCATCTATACCTTTCCATGTCAAGTTTATACATCTATGTTTTTTTAAATTTTTTCTTAATTATCAAGTTATTCAACAACTATACTTTTGATAAAAGCAATACAATTTTTTCACCATCTGCTGAAGTTTGTGTGTTTATTTTAATTTTAAAGGTGGCCAAAGAAATGAATGCATTTTTGAAGTATTATAGCAGTATTCATCAGGAAGAAATATAGGCAGCAGTATATTTGTAAGGATTATATTCTGGAATATTGCAGGGTTTATGAGCTGGTGACTTGCCTCACTACATTAACTGAACTCATTAGTGAAACCAAGTCTTAAGGGCAAGCTTAATTTGTTTTTAAAAATGGGATTTTAAAACATTGAAACATGTTTAAATGATCTCATTTATTGGCAATTAATCATTTGGTATTTAAGGAAAAGTTGTAAATATTCAATATGAATTAAAAATCATGAAAGTGAGTTTTAGCTTGTTTATAAGATAAGGAGTAAAGTAGTCTGAATTAGCGCAAAGATTGCCAACCTATAATAAGACTTCCTTTACCAAAACAAAAGGTAGTATAATTTTAAAGGTCTAGCTTTTTTACCCTTACGAGGTCTTAGAGAAATATTATTTCCTAGGTGTCAGTGTTGGGGCCTTAGAAAGTAGGAAAGGTGAAAAAAAAGAGACAATCAGAATTAGAAGTATTTAGTGAGGACTTTTCCCCAAGAAACTAATGTTTTGGTTTTGAGATCCTTTAGCTTCCCACTCAACAGAAGATCTGAAAATGTTTTCCATGTATTATATTCATTTCCCAATTCTTGAGCTATCACATGTTCAGAAAACCTACTTAAACAACATAGTTTGAATCCCTTTCTCTACAAAAATCTTCCTATTAATTCCACCCTTCCAATTTCTCTCATCTACTGATGGGATAAAACATTCCAACTATATATCTTTTATTTTTCATATTATTCCCCTTTACTCTTTTCCTCTTTCCTACAAAACTCTTCTTAGACCATCCCAACCCCTTTGCTATAGTGGTCAAGCACTCTTCTCTCTTGAACCTGTTCTACTCCTCCTCACATGCCTTCCTTTCAGGCCATCCCTTAAACTTCTTTTGTGTTCCCATCTCCTTCTAGTTCAAAACCCACTAAAAAATGTTGAAACCATCCAGTGATCGGATAAGAACTGCCTGTTCAAAGCAAAACAAACTATTAGCCACCTCACTTACTATGTGTTTAAACTTAAAAGCACTATATTTCTTATGTGTGATCATGGGATGAATGAAGACCATATATTTTTTAATTCCCTTCAGTACCTGCTTAGGTTGTTACCATGCTACCTGTCGTGGTTTAAACATCATCCCCTAATGTGACATGAATCCACTGGGTGCGTAACTGTGCAGTGCAATTGGTCAGGCTGTAGTCCACAACAGGAGATCCCTTGGTTTCTTCCTTTCAGTGTTTTCACTTGTATTAGGACATGGATAATTTTGGTAGGAGTGAGTTAATATTATTTAAGATTGAAAACTCTTTTAAGCAACTTTCTATAACTCAGCTACATTTCTACTTACAGACCCAGCCAAAAGTATTATCCAGAATTTCTCTTGACAAGCTCTTGTTTCGGATTAACCTTAACTAAAAAGTATTCTCTGATACTTGCAGGAATCCAGCCACACTGATCATATAGGAGGTTTTGTGCGAGGACCCCCAAGGTTGCCACCAAGGTAAGAAAGTGTGTGAAAAGTTAGAGAAAAACTAATAACTCAGAGACTCAACTCTCTTTTCTATCACCGAGACTGAGTGTTGTTGGCCATAGGTCTTCTTTTAGAGATAAAATAATCTCACAAATTCACCAGGGCCACTGGCCCACAGTCTGCTTCTGACAACAGGCTGTGGAAATCTCTGCACCGTTTTTTAACACTGTCCAAAAACTCATAGAGCATAAACATGGGTCTCTATTACTTATCCTGAAACAAATGAATAAGACTCCTTTCTGAACCTAAAACAACTCCACTTCTGGAATACATACACTCTCTCCCCAGCCCTGCTCGGTAAAGAGAAAGAGTCCTGGTTTTTGGCATTTCCAAGGGAAACAGGATTTGTGAGCTCAGAAGTGAGCTGCCTCCTGAGTTCCAGAGCTATTTGAACAGAAGACTGTAATGCTATCAGAAGATATTACTATGTTGAAAATTATTTCTATCATAGGGATTAAGGAAAAGCTTTCAAAGTAACAGTTGTCCTATCCCATTTTCAGAACTGGCTTTCTTTATATTAATCTAAATTAGAATTTTAATAGTAACTCCTATAACATGAATATTAGGGGATTTTGATGTTCCTTTTCTAATCATGTGAAAGACCCCAGCACATATACCTGATATCTTATTATAAGCTTTCATCTCAGACTTTGGTAGAAATTGCTTAGTTTCCTGAAATAGTCATGGTGTGTTTAATAGCAAATGGGGCCTTAGAGAGCTCATGATAGTAAATGCTTGTTTGTCTTGAACTAATGAATCTCTAGTGCAAGATAAGAGGAAGCTGGAACATCGTGGCATTTCCTCTAATAATGCAATGTTTAATGCAGTAGTCGTTTGCTCAAAAATAGCACACCCTGCATGTTTCAGTAAATTGTATTCCACTAGCAGAAAGCTGTGTGTGTGTGTGTGTGTGTGTGTGTGTGTGTGTGTGTGTATAAGAAAGGACAGAACAGAATCTGATACTGATCAAAACTCTGACTCATGGCTCCTATATTGACTTTCAGACCTGTAAATGGAAAAACCATTTCAATACAACAGCCTCCTCCCAAGGTGCCTCCTGAGAGACCACCTCCCCCCAAACTCTCTGCAACCAGAACATCAAATAAAAAACTACCTTTTAATCGGTCCTCTTCTGACATGGATCTTCAGAAAAAACAAAGTAACTTGGCATCTGGACTCTCAAAAGCCAAAAGTCAAGTCTTTAAAATTCAAGATCCGGTGCTACCCCCTCGCCCCAAACCAGGACACCCTCTCTACAGTAAATACATGGTAAATTCAGCTCTTAAAAATGTTTGTGGTCAAGAGGCTTGTCCTAAAGTATATATAAGATTCCTTAGGAAAAGGTGGCGAAATAATTGTACCTTATCCCTAAGAATGCTCTTGATAAGTAGGTGAAAATAAAACCTAGGTCTTTAAAGCTGGGTTTTATTACTAGGAGAAATGTTGGGAAAGAGGAAGCAGGGTAGGCAGGGATTATAACTTGCTGTCTTCTTGACCAAACAGGAACTCTGAAAAACCTGACCTAGTAGGTTATGCTAATGGGAGTAACTCTAACAGATTATATCTTTGAATATATATCTCAATCTAGATCTTGATATAAAATTTTTAATTATTATGAGTACATAATAGTTTTATACATTTATAGGCTACATGTGATGTTTTGATACAGGCAAACAATGTGTAATAGTCAATTATAGTTTATATCTTATAGCTCCTTTTCCCGCTGAATAAAATTTAAAATGAAGCAGAAAGACAGTTCTTATTAAGATGGATGGTTTTTCTCTCATTTCTCCCTTTTGTAAGCCTAATTATCATGGTCCATTTAATAGCTACCAGTTAGAAGTTTGCATCAATAATTGAGATAATTAAGATATTGTAAGAATTTTCTGTTTGAATGTTTTTTCTCATCAAATGACCTAAACCTATGTCTCCATTTCCCATAGTTGAAAAACAAAGTTGCTCTGCTCTCTACTTTGGTCAGGTTAACCTGAAAAAAATCTAAAACAAGTAAAAATGATAAAGAGAGCAGGACTACTTTCACTGTTTCTTTTCTTTTTTCTTTCTTTTTTGTGGGGGGGAATTAGAAGCACATAGATGGTTGCTTGCACTTTTTTTTTTTTTTTTGAGACAGAGTCTCGCTTTGTTGCCCAGGCTAGAGTGAGTGCCGTGGCATCAGCCTAGCTCACAGCAACCTTACACTCCTGAGCTCAAGCAATCCTGCTGCCTCAGCCTCCCAAGTAGCTGGGACTACAGGCATGCGCCACCATGCCCGGAGAGTTTTTTTTTCTATATATATTAGTTGGCCAATTAATTTCTTCCTATTTATAGTAGAGACGGGGTCTCGCTCTTGCTCAGGCTGGTCTCGAACTCCTGACCTCGAGCAATCCGCCCGCCTTGACCTCCCAGAGTGCTAGGATTACAGGCGTGAGCCACCGCGCCCGGCCGGTTGCTTGCACTTTTTAAACAATGGTATGACAGAGTACCTCCTAACAAGAACAGCAATGAATAATTTTATATTGTTTTACATTTCCATCATTGACCTAGAAATTATTTTTTCTTTAAACTGTTCAGGGTTTTAAAAAACCCTCATTAGAAAAGGGTATAGATAAAAAGGAGGGTAGTATATTCACATTCATTTGAACTGATGAAATTTTAATTGCTAAAACCCAGGGGTGTTTTTGCGATAGGTTACTTCATAAATAAATAAAAACAATAGCTGATGTATATTGAATACTAATTATGAGCCAGATACTATTCAAAGCACTTTATATATATTAAATAACTCATTTCCTCAAACCAACCCTGTGAGGTACATATTATTATTATCCCCATTGTACAAATGAGAGTGACAAGACACAGAGAGATTGAGTAACTTGCCCAGGGTCACAAAGCCTGTTAATGGTGGGATCAAGATTTGAACACAGGTTGACTGGCTCTGAGCTTGTGCTTCTAGCCATTATGCCATATGATGAAAATAATATTACTAGTTGTAGTCTCTCCTTGATTTGGCCATTCTATGTTAAGACCTCTTACTTAGGGGAACCAGATTTCACTTATGGTTCTTAGCATAGTTGTATAATGTCAATAAAGCATTTTAAAAACTCAAAGAAATTAATCAATTCAAATGATGGTATACTTAGAGTGATATGTCTCATTATGAAGTCATTCTTTAAATCCCCCATTTTTTCCCTACCATTAAATTGCAAGCCAGGAATCTGGGTACAATGAAAGCCCTAAGACTCTGCTTGACATTCTGGGAATTGGCACTGCGGCACCCAACCTTACAAGGCTACACCCTTACACTCTGTATCGTTGTTTCTGGGTGATCCAACGGCCCAGGCAGCCTCCCTTCCCATGTTGGAAGTGAGCTTGTGTGATTGCATTCCCTGGGTATGACTTTTATATTGTACGGACCCTCTGACCTGCACTCATCAGCTAAAATTTACCAAAGCAGGGAACAGAGGCTCCTGGCCAAGGTAAAATGTAAAATCCATTTTCAGATCAGACAGAGCTGAGTGGACCAGAAAGTTTCTGGGGTAGGCAGTGAAATGGGTGTAAGTAGATGCTTGGAATCAGAAAGACTCTAGGAGAAGATTCAAGGTAAATGGAAGCACTCAGTCAGGCAGTACACAGAGGGCTGATAGGTATCAGCCTTCAAAAGGCAACCACCGTGAGAACCATGAATTAAAGACTTGAGTGCCTTGTTCATCTATGAGGTCAGGTACTAAGTATTTATCCATCAGCCCCCACGGGCCTTGGTGGACCTTTCCCTGTTGACTGGAGCTTCCTGGTTGTGGGTGTTAAAGGGAACTTCAGGCCACATTCGGTGCTTGTGGTTTTGTGGGCTAAACTCCCAAGAGCTTTTAGTATCCACAAGAAATGGCAGGCCCCACTAGACCTATAGCGGGAAGAAGCCAGATAAAGAGTTTAACTGCTGGAGAAGTTGCACTTTAGGTACACATGCCAAATCCCTAAATGTTCAGCAACTTATGAGGAGGTTATTTGATTGTGAATAATCCTTTTATTGATTTACATTTAAGCTGTCTGTGCCTCATGGAATTGCCAATGAAGACATTGTCCCACAAAACCCTGGAGATCTCTCTTGTAAGGTAAAGTAGAACTCTTTCTTGACAGACTAATGTAAAAAATTGCTGGCCTCTGTCATTGCCATTACACATTATTAAATGCTTTAGGCTCCAAAGATTAAAATGTGAAAAAAGTAATAATGTTTTATTAAATAATAATTGCTTCAGAGAGTGATATTGTACCTTACAGCGTGGGGACGTACTTGTGATGCTGAAGCAGGCAGAAAATAATTACTTGGAATGCCAAAAGGGAGAAGATACTGGCAGAGTCCACCTGTCTCAGATGAAGATTATTACTCCACTTGAGGAACATCTTAGAAGCAGACCAAACGTAAGGAATTAATTATTGTACAGCCTTCATATCACATGTGGCAGCACATTTTATAGAACTATTAATTATATCTTATCCTCAGGTTTTTATTAGCACGTTTATTTCAACCATGGTAAAAATTACATTAGTATTTTATTCATTTTTAGAATAAATTACTTCTAAGAGACTTGCCACTGCCATACTAATCACTTTGATACCCAGAGTGATTACCATGTGTTTTGCCATCTTCATATTGTACTGACTGTCAAGCAGAGCACTCATTTATTTTCAACTGTGAGAACTATTTGTTTTTTAAATATATAAACATGTTTACCAAAGTGCCAGAGATTAGTTTCCTAGCAGAATTGAAGTCTGACATTAAAAAGCACCTCCCCTTTAAGATTTAAGCATAATATTAACTTTGTTTCTCTGATTATACCTCATAAAACAATGAAATGTAATCCAACAACCTCAAGTCACGATTTAGGCCTAACAAATTTATGGAACCTGGGAAAATACAATGATTATTAAAAGTTATTTAACAAGAAAAATGCTGTTGAGCTGACACCCGCTGGCTCACACCTATAATCCCAGCTACTTGTGAGGCTGAAGTAGGAGGGTTGCTTGAGGCCAGGAGTTTGAGACCAGCCTGGGTGATATGGCAAGATGCTGTCTTAAAAAAAGAGCAAGAGAGAGAAAGAAAAAAGAAAAATGCTATTGAACAATATATAGAGGTATATTTTTAAAAGTGCTTCTTAAATTATCCAGTTAAATTTTCACTATCTGTTTGTTATTGTGGTAAATATGAAAAATACCCACCAATCATTCAACGCACATAAACGTATTTGGTTTGCCATTCATCCTAGTTTTCATAATATAGTCCAATTTTTTTCTTCTTTGAAAGCAGTTATCTTTTGAGTTTGCTAAGAAACTAAAAATTTGTATTTTGGAAAGCAATGAAGATATGTGTTAAGCTAGTTGCAGCTGGCATATGAATATTCTAACTTTAGTTCACACAGGGAATGTTCTTCTATTACTCTATCTTCTATTTTCTCTGTGTTTTGATACAGCATTCTCTATCTGTCATAGCTGTCCTTCCTCTTTCAGAACACACTGATAGTAACAGTGGGAGTTATACTGCCAAAAAGCTTTCTTTTGTGAAAAATAGAAGCTAAAAAAATTAGAAGTTATTCTTTTATAATAGTCCAAAGTTTTTTTTCACTTTAAACATCACCTTCTCATCTTGTACTATAGATGTGCAGAAAGTTGGCCTCTGATGGCCAACTATTGGTGGTAATGAAATGAATCCTCCTTTATGCTTCTGGGTTCATGGTTATCATTATATTTTTTAGAAAAATAAACCTTATCCATTGATAGCCTAGTTTTACATTAAATATCTCTAAGAATGTGTTATATTATACTTTCCCCTAACTTGGCATACAGAAAACTAAACTAAACATTACCAGTTGTAGTTGAATCCAACAGATTGTGGGACAAGTGGGAGGTTGTTGCCTGGTGCATAGTTGAGAGGCCAGACCTGGGTTTCAGTTCCCCTTGCACCACCTTAGGTGGTTATTTAACCTCTCTTAACTTCATTATTTTGGAGACAGAGTCTCTCTTTGTTGCCCGGGCTAGGGTGCAGTGGCATCATCATGGCAGACTGCAACCTCAAATTCCTTGGCTCAAGGGATTTTCCTGCCTCAGCCTTCCAAGTAGCTGGGATATAGGTGCATGTCACCATATCCTGCTGATTTTTCTATTTTTTGTAGAGATAGGGTCTTGCTCTTGTTCAGGCTGGTCTCAAACTCCTGGCCTCAGCGATCCTCCCTCCTCATCCTCCCAGAGTGCTAGGGTACAGGCATATGAGCCACTGTGCCTGATCTAAACTTCTTTTTATTTATGTGTGAAATAAGTCTAACTCCTCACAGAGTTGTCTTTAGAGTTGACATACTGTATGATTCTATTTGCATAAATGTCCAGAATAGGTAAATCCATAGAGATAGAAGGTAGATTAGTGGTTGCCTAGGACTGAGAGGAAGGTGAGTGGGGAGTGAGTGACTCCAAAAGGGTAGGAAATTTCTTTTCAGGGTGTTAAAAATGTTAAACTCAGATTGTGGTGATTGCATGATATTGTGAATATACTAAAATTATGTACACTTTAAACAAGAATTATATCTCAATGGTGTTTAACAAATTAAATGAGCTAGCCAGTGCATATAAGGTATTTAACACAGTGAGTAGCACGTAGTGAATGAACAATAAATATTAGCTATTCTTATTATTATAAAACCATTTGTATTAGCAATTGTAGTCATATTAGAAAAGACTTTTGAACTGTATTAGATTCACCTACCATGTTTCCCCCAAAATAAGACCTACCCATAAAATAAGCCCTAGCAGGATTTCTAAGCAATTGTGCAATATAAGCCCTACCCCAAAAATAAGACCTAGTGATGGGCATGGCTATACAGCATATCTTCACAACATTGCGGAGTAAAGAAGACAAGCAGCCCTTCTTATCTGTCCCATCGTGACAGCTACTATCCCAAAGGTGACCAGAAAGGTGCGGGCAGCCCCACCAACAAGGTCGGCTCCCCCTGTCAGGTCCCGGCCATCCTGTGTGTGCTGCAAGCTGAGGCTTTGAGGGGAAAATAACATATGCCCTGAAAATAAGCCCTAGGGTGTCTTCTTGAGGAAAAATAAATATAAAACCCTGTCTTATTTTTGGGGAAACACGGTAATAGATATGCACCCCAATGGTGTGGTCTGAATTGTACTGACCCCTTGTGGGCAACTCTGGCCAGCCTGTTCCTCTTTTTTTATTTCAGGATATTATGGGGTACAAACATTTTGGTTACATATTATGACTTTGCCACACCCAAACCATAGTTTGGGCGTGCCGTTCCCCCCCTACCACGCTCACCGCGTCCATTAGTTGTGAGTTTACCCACCTCCAAGCCCCAAGTCCCTGAAGAATATTACAATGGTGCTACAATGGTGCTACAATGTGAGCACCATAGCGTTAATCAGGCCTGTTCCTCTTGCTCTTCACCTGCCGGGCCAGATTCATGAGCAGCATTGCCAAGAACTTCCACACACTGAAGGCAGAGAAGGGAAACTATAATTTGGAAACATAAATTATTGTCCCCTTCCTCCCAGGCTTGGTTATGTTTAGATCTCCAGTCCATTTAGAAATTCATGTTTGTGTTTGGTGTGAGTTAGGTCTCTGACTTCATTTTTTCCAAATGGATAGCCATCTAGCCTAACACCATTTATTGAATAGTCATTCCTTTTTCTCCACAGATACAAATTGGAATAAAATAAAAATCATGCATACACATGTATACTAGACTATATAAATGATAATTTTTAAAAGCCACTCCAAACCTAAAATATCTCACAGTTCCTTTCCACAATTTCTGAAATTTTCATGTTGCTCATTTATTTAGAGAAAAATGTCTACAAGAAAATGTTAGTCACCTTGGTAAGCTAATATAGTAAATTACATTAGCCATTACTATCTTTTTTTTCATTTTTTATTTTTTTTAAATTTTATTTTTATTTTATGGTAGAGACAGGGTCTCACTCTTGCTCAGGCTGGTCTTGAACTCCTGAGCTCAAACGATCTGCCCGCCTCGGCCTCCCAGAGTGCTAGGATTACTGGCATGAGCCACTGTGCGTGGCCACCATTACTATCTTGACTTAAGTTATATTTCAGTTCACCTAACTTAAGAATACTCTTTGTTTTTGTGGGTGCCTTTTGGTTGAAAGAGCTGGTGAGATTCAGAAAAGATCTGAACAAAAGCACTACAGGGTAGAAATGGAGAGAAAGTGTAGTTTCATCAACCAGTGCATCATGACCAGAGGAAGGGCAGAGTAGTGTCAGGGTGTCCCTAAGGAGACAAGAGTTATTAGAGGAGGAGAAGAGACAAAAAAGAGCACAAAAATCTACCTTCATTTATTTCATAGCTTTGTCAGTGTTAAAGAGTTTTGTTATGACTCCAAATAATATCCTTTAGTTGGATTCGATGATAATGATGATGTAGATAAGCTTGTGTCTTCATATAAAGAGTTATTCATAAGAAGAAACTAAGAATAACAACCGGTTGTCAGTAAGAAAAGGTCACTCTTCAACTTTAGAAAAGGTCTCTCTTCTAGCCAATCTAGGCAATTGGCTGGATAGATAGAGAATATTAGATGCTTTTTGCTAATTTACTTAGAATTACTGTTGAAGAAACCATTCAAATTAAATACAAAATGCAGGCCAGGCATGGGAGGTAGCATTGCTTTCAAATGAGAGAAAGCATTCAGTTAAGTGGTAATGAATGAAATGGATTTTACTTTTTGTGAATTATACTTTTGTGGAAAGTCATTAGCTCTTTTCATTACAAAAGGCAAGAGCATAAGTGGCAGGACTTTCTTCTTTACCTATCCTGATGAAGACACAATTTTTAAAGCTCTGTTCTTTTTTTTTTTTTTCCTTTGTAAGACAGAGTCTCACTCTATCACCTGGGCTAGAGTGCTATGGCATCAGCCTCGCTCACACAACCTCAAACTCCTAGTGTCAAGGGATCCTCCTGCCTCAGCCTCCCAAAGTACTAGGACTACAGGCATGTAACACCACACCTGGCTGATTTTTTTTTTCTGTTTTTTATAGATACAGGGTTTTACTTTTTCTTGGGCTGGTCTTGAACTCCGGACTTAAAGTGATCCTCCCAGCTAAGCCTCCCAGAGTGCTAGGATTACAGGTGTGAGCCACCATGCCTGGCCAGCTCTGTTCTTAAAGTTTAGTCCTGACAAAAAGTTTAAGGGAAAAAACTACCTTTGAAAGGGAAAGAGGTCAAAAACCACTACTTTAGGGTAGAATAGGTTCTGTTTAAAAAAAAAAAAAAAAGGTAAGCAGTTCCCTTTTGCTTTACTCTCTCACTTTAAAAAAAAATAAAAATAGAACATGCTAGGGAATATTATAATTAAGAGTTATTTTCGTCCTCCCTTGGCAAGGACACATTCTTTTTCAACTTGATAATGATTCCCTTGTTTGGCTCAACTGTGTGGTTTGCATCTTGAACTTATAATGTAATTGTGTCAAGAGGACTCTAATGAGGGAAAAAAATTGGTCTCAGAGTGAGTTATAAATCCACCATATATCCTGCACACTTCATTCACAGCCCTGTTTTCCCCATAAGGATCCAAGCCACGCTCAGAAGCCTGTTGACAGTAGCGTTCCTCATGCTGTTGTTCTTCATGATTTTCCAGCAGGTAAGGACATAAATAATAAAATGGTAGAGCCACAGATCCAGGAGCAAGGCATCCTCCCTGGGACCTCCTTGTTCATTTTCTTTGCCTATAGAGTCCTAGACCAGAGGAGTCATCTTACCCAGCCCTCTACCTTCAGGAGGGATTGATTGCACCCAGTCATTCCAGAAAGCGTGGTTGCATACCTTTGCCTTTGAAACTCCCTAAGAACAAGAGAGGGTGTTCCCCTTATAAATGAACAATAGCAAATTGCCTACCAGTTGCAAACTTTTTAACTCTTTCGAAATAGAAAGTACTAATTTACATTTGTAATAAAATTCTAACTTAAGTGAAGTTCTTCTGTCATAAGAGTTGTCTCAGCTGCTACGTACCTAGGAGATCAAAATATAAATCCAAGCCTACAAATAAACTCCAGATTTATTTACAATTCCTTTTTATTCACTTGATAAACTGATTTTTATTTTATTGTGGAAAGTAAATTTACTTGCTAAAGAGCCGACTATAATATTCCCTTAGTTAGTATTTGAAGCTGAAATGATTTTTAAGCATGATTTAAAATAACGATAATATTATACTCAGTCTATAAAACCCTTTCATTGTTCAATGTGTATTCAGCAAGGGAGGAATCATTGGCCGCACAATGTTGTTTTAAACCCTTTCCCATCAATCAATGCATGGTAAATATATCAAATTTTGTGTTTAAAAAGGGAGCTCATAACAGCAATATCCAAAAAAAAGAGAATAGTATGTTTTAAAAAGTCCATTTGATTAGTATAATCTGCTCTCACAATCAGTAGAAAATACTGCCTCAGTGGACAGAACTAACTGCTATTTTGTGATCTAATCAAATCTGCAACCAACGTAATTCATCATACATAACTAATTTTATATTACAGAGCAATTTGATGATTTGAACCTCACTTCTGGAGAAATTGTTTATCTTTTGGAAAAGATAGATACAGATTGGTACAGGGGGAGCTGTAGAAACCGGACTGGCATATTTCCTGCCAACTACGTCAAAGTAATTGTAAGTGGATCGTGCTTGTTTTAATTGGTCATATACTCAGTGGGTTCTGTGTGACTTGTAGGTTGGAAAAAAATAACCAGAAACTTAGATTCTTTGCTTCTAGTTCTCTTTCTTCCATTGATTCATTTGGCATTTGAAAAATTCAAAAATAAAGATTTGTTCAACTAGGTAATGGTTAATTATTATTATAATATTATGGGGTTTTGGAACTTAATGCATAAATACTATCTGAAATCCTCAAGTGAAAGACCACCATTACAGGTAAATCAACTGTTCTTGGGGGGTTGTTAAGCACTTAAAAGATATATGTTAATTCTTTGAGACATTTAGTAAACATGAATTGAATGGTACTAGATTGTCCTGCATAGATGTTCTTTGAGGTTATGGTACCACTTCTTTTCTTAGGAGTGCAAAATTGCACTCCTAAATTGCACTTAGGAGTGCAATTTTTGGTTTCTTTCATCTTTTCCATTGCCATTTATCTCCATGTTTTAAAAAAAAAATCAACTTGGGAATACTAAAGTACTTTATTAGAAATAGTGGTTCATTAATGGTTTCTCACATAATTTCTAATCTGATTGGGAAAATTATATTAAAGCATCAGACTTTTATACACCTTCATGACCTAACTTGTGAAAGCATACATGTATATTGGAGCTTTCTTTACATGCTAAGCCCAGGAGGCCATGAAACATGGGGGTAAAATCAGACTGTCCCTCGAACAGACTGCCCCTGTAGTCATATATAGGAGAAGTATGACTCATTTCCTGGTATAATTTATTGATACCCTGCAATACCAATAAAGCTAGCCTGAGTAGTTCAGCATTAACAGCTTATTTGGAGGGAAAAAAGCAAATAATTTTCCATTACATCAGAAATTTAGAAAACAAGTCCAAGAGAAAATCTATATTTCTCAAATAGAAAATGAGTTTGAGTCTCTTGGATTATGAAATGTAGGTCTTAAAAATTGTCCAGTATATATATGCCCTGATTCTTTGGAGAAATTCAACCACATTCTCTAAATTAATATTAAGAATAATGTTAGTTTTAGCACTCTTCCTCATTTTTCTTCTGCCCAATGAAGCAGTACTTTAGAAAGCACAATTACCACACTGAAATCAATCACTGAATTTGCCACATTATTGGTATGAGTGTTATTTCTAAGCCCACAAGTTTAAAAAATTGTTTTAAAACTTCAAACCTTTGGAATTCATCAAGAAGGGCCCTGCTTTATTTAATATAAATCTCAGAGCCTTAAGTAGTTTCAGACTGCATGCATTATGGCCAAATATTTTATTACAACCCAGCTCTACTGAGCCTTATAAATGAGGTATTATGTAAAGTGCTTGCCACTTAGTAGATGCTCACTAAGTACGAATTCCTTTCTTCCTTCCCTATTCACATTGAAGGGGAAGAAATATTACAGAGTGATGAATATGGAAAGAATCTACAAGTTTTACTGAAATATTTTATTTTGGGTTCAGGGAAATGTTGACGAATCCTGGCAACACTTGGAATAGATGGAATAGGGCTGTTGTATGACAGCATGAACACCTGATGCCTGGTTTCTATCTTAAGTCCTTCTTAGCTGCAATTTTCAACGTGGAGAACATGAGATAGAGAAAACTAAGTCAGAAGTAGAATGATATTAATGTGTTTATTCCAGCAAATAAGAGAAGGAATGAATGTTTACTCAAGAAAAGCTACATCACAAGTTATACATTTTTTCAAAACTCAAATTCAGGATTTCTTTCCATTTAGCAGCTATGGTGCCATTTACTCCATTTAAGACTTAGCTAACTAAACTGGCTGGTTGATTTCAATCATGCATTTCCTAATTACTTAACATGAAATTTGTCTTACTAAAATCTGAAAAAATACAATTGTCACCTTGATTTTGTCTTTACCAGGTTGATATTCCGGAAGGAGGAAATGGGAAAAGAGAATCCGTTCCATCTCATTGTGTTAGGTAAGTTTGTGTTCTTCTGCACAAAAATTGAAGGAGGCAACCATTTATCTCATGAAGAATTACCAAGCTTAAAACACTTATAATGTGTGATTATTCAAATTCTAAGTGTGTGTTTTTAATTATGAAGAAAACTTTGCTTGTTTAAAAAGCAACGGTGAATGAAAATCCTGATGAAATGGGTAGAAGCCGACCTAAGCAACTCTGCATCTCAGCACAGGACATACCGGCAGCGACAAAGCAAGGTCTGTCTTGATGCTTCCCGCAGCCTGGCCTCGGCACCAGCACAGATGATGTCATCACCCAGTGCATTTTATTTTGACCTTCTGGTGTTTATCTATCAACAGATTTTTAAAAGGTTCAAATATTTTGGTCATGGGAAATATTTTACTGAAATATGAATCCTGCAAAAACTGATAGACATTTGTATTGTTCTGTTTTTTTAAGTGGAACTAGAAGAAAATGAAGAAAGAGTTAAGTTGAAGGCATTTTCCTTTATTTCTGATGACCTTTCCAGGAATTTATATACCCTTTTATGTGTCATTGTAACTCCTTTGTGATTTAAAACATTGCCACAATGCAATTTTATATTCTAGTTAAATGAGTGAATTAATAGAATTCACTACCTGCTGAAGACTGTAATAAGGAGATGCTTCCAGAGGACTTTAGAAAATAAATGCAAAGGTTATCACAAATAAGAAAACTTCTGATGCTACAGTAGTTGAGTTCTATTTCAGGTTCAGTTTTTCTCCTTTTTTTTTTTTTTTTTGGTGGGGGGACAGAGTCTCACTGTGTCGCCTGGGCTAGAGTGCGGTGGCGTCAGCCTAGCTCACAGCAACCTCAAACTCCTGGGCTTAAGCGATACTCCTGTCTCAGCCTCCTGAGTAGCTGAGACTACAGGCCTGTGCTACCATGCCCGGCTAATTTTTTCTATATATTTTTAGTTGTCCAGCTAATTTCTTTTTTTTTTTTTTAATGTTTAAAAATATATTTGCTATACACGTGGAAGAAAAGTTCTTTCAAGTCAAATTTTTTTTTTTTCGGCATATTATGGGGGTACAGATTTTAAGGTTTCAATAAATGCCCATTTCCCCCCCCTCCCCATGTCCAGCTAATTTCTTTCTATTTTTTTAGTAGAGAGGGGGTCTCACTCTTGCTCAGGCTGGTTTCAAACTCCTGACCTTGAGTGATCTTCCCGCATTGGCCTCCCAGAGTGCTAGGATTACAGGTGTGAGCCACTACAACCAGCAAGTTTTTCTCCTATTTTTAAGCAGTGTACTGTGTCAGCCAGCTGAATTTAAAGTGGGCTTTTATAGCCATTGGAGCTACAATCAACCTTTTCTCTTTAGGCAATTGCTTCTCTTTAGCCTGTTGCTATTGAAACTTCCTTTCTAAAGCCTCAAATCGAAGGTTTGCTATTAAATTATACCTTCCAGAGATACAGTTTTATCTCTGCTTTTATCTTATTTTCAGTCAAAATTGCAGATCATATAAGGATTGTTCCAAGTCTCAGAAATGAAGCCTTTTTAAAAGAGATACAAAAATCATTTGATTTAATTTAGTTATTTATCTATTTATTTTTGAGACAGAATCTTCCTCTGTCACCTGGCTAGAGTACAGTGGCAACATCATAGCTCACTGCAACCTCAACTCCTGGGCTCAAGTGATCCTCTTGCCTCAGCCTCCCAAGTAGCTGGGACTATGGGTGCATGCCATCACATCCAGCTAATTTTTTCTATTTTTATGGAGATGGTATCTCTTGCTCAGGCTAGTCTCGACCTCCTAACCTCAAGGGAGCCTCCTGCCTTGGCCTCCCAGAGTGCTAGGATGCCAGGCATAAGCCATGACACCCAGCCCCCCAAAAATCATTTTTAAAAGCAACAGAGTTAGGTATAAGATTATGTATTATGATATATACCAAGTTTCTGTTTCTTTATACCTCCTGGGTTTTCAGGCCAACTCACTGATTGATTCAGCACGTATTGAGCATTTACTCTGCCTAGCTGATGCCCATTGCATTCTGCCCTGATTCTTGATCAGGAAGTTTACTATCTCACCCCAAGATTCTCAAGGTTAGCACTCCTAAACTCAATGTATTTATGATTGAAAGGTACAGACTGGGCCATGAATTGCTATGGCCCATGGATATAACACATGGAGACTGGGGAGATTGTGTAATGAATTAAGATATCAAAACATGACAGTATAAACTAACCACCTAGCTGCTTATCTGGAATTCTTCGTGTAGTCTGTGACCTTGAGCTTTAGCTTTTCTGAGTCAATAGGTTCATATCTAAAAAGTAAGTACTATCGTTTAAAAGGGTAACTTGTGGCTGGGCTCGATGGCTCACGCCTATAATCCTAGCACTTTGGGAGTCTGAGACGGGAGGATTGCTCAAGGTCAGGAGTTCAAAACCAGCCTGAGCAAGAGCGAGACACCATCTCTACTAAAAACAGAAGAAATTAATTGGCCAACTAAAAAAATATATAGAAAAAATTAGCTGGGCATGGTGGCACATGCCTGTAGTCCCAGCTACTTGGGAGGCTGAGGCAGGAGGATCCCTTGAGCCCAGGAGCTTGAGGTTGCTGTGAGCTAGGCTGATGCCACGGCACTCTAGCCTGGGCAACACAGTGAGACTCTTGTCTCAAAAAAAAAGGAAAAAGATAAAAGAGTAACTTGTTCATTTTCATGGAAAATTTTTAAATTAGCCTAGTATACCTTGTTCCATAGTAAACACAGAGTTAATATTTGTTGAAAGACTGAATGAAGGGTTTAAATTTTCTAAAAGTACTCTCTACTTTAACCCACAAAATGTGTTTTGTTCAGAGGCCCAAGATGTGTTGCTCGGTTTGAATATGTTGGCGACCAGATGGATGAGTTAAGTTTCTCAGAGGGAGAAATTATTATTCTTAAAGAGTATGTGAATGAGGAATGGGCCAGAGGAGAACTTCGAGACAGAACTGGGATTTTCCCCCTTAACTTTGTGGAACTTGTTGAGGATTATCCCACCTCTGCTGCAACTGTTTCAAGTGAGTATGTCTAATAGGTGTTTTCATTGTGTCATGTCCTGATTCAAATGAACCAAATAATGGGATTATGCTTTAACTGAAAAATAATCCATACTGCCCTACTTTTTAAGGTTGAAGTAAAAATGATTTTAAAGGTAATTCGTGTGGGATAGTCATTATGGTGGTCCTCTCTCAAAGAGTTGGATTTGCTGTTTTAAGTAATTAGTAATATTTTTATATAAGAAATATAAATACTTTTAAACAGAAATGGACTATAGGGTATAACCAAAGTGTATCCTTCTTCACTTTACAATTACATGAACAAGCCCAGAGAGAGGATAGGATCGGTCTAGGTAACATCACCAGCACATGGAGAGACTGGTCTAGAATCCCAGGCTTTTCACTCCCACCCCTGACCCAACAATTTATTTCTAATACTGTATGGTCTTTACAGCTGATGTTTTGACTTTTTTCTTTCTTTTTTTTTTTAATGTAGGCACAAAGGTACCACTAAAAACCAAAAAAGAAGATTCTGGCTCAAATTCTCAGGTAGGCTATCTGAACAGATAACTGTAGTGACAGCCAGGTCTAAACTCTGGGAGGAATATTAAAATCGTAAATATCAAGAAAAATGGTATTAAATCATGTTTCAATTCATATAGCAGATGTTTATAATAAATTAAATTGTTACGTTGTTAGTACATTTTTATAGAGAGCTTATGCAAAGACATGCAGACCCTGATAGAAAATGAGGAAAGAGACATGACTGGAGAATTCTTAAAAGATATACGATAAGTGGCTAATACTGAAAAAATATTTAACCTTACTGGTAATCAAGGAAATGTATAATAAAGCAGCAGTAAAATAACATTTAACCTATCTAGTTAGCAAAGACTCAGTGTAACTCAACACTCAACAAATAATTATAAGCATATGAGTGTTTAAAAAGGAGAAAGTACACATCATTATCATTATTATTATTTATCACCCTAAGAAAAGGATTAAAAATGAGACAAAATTTTAGTCACAAAGGTGGTCATAGTGGTGTTGGTATAAGTAAAAATTAAAAACAACCTAAATATGACCATAATTGGGAGAATATTCTGAAGCCATGAAAAACCAGATTTATAAGAGAAATGTCATAAAAGGAAAGCATACATTATGTAATAGGGAAAGGGATATAAAATTGAATATATAGCATAAAAAGACTAGAAGGAAATATATTTCAATTGATAATAGTTGCTTCTCAGTGGTAAGATTATTATATACCTGGGTTATATACATCCTCTGATGTGTTTGGGGTAAAAGCATTCTTACTGGAGGATTCCATCATACTAGCCCACCATATTTGGGTGGTTATCCTGCCAACCTTGGAGTTAACTATGCCTCATTAAATTAAAAGTATGAATTAATGAAGTCCTATGCCATAGAATCTGATGGACTGAATCAAGGAAAGACCTGGGAATTAACAAACTGCCCATTCTGATTCTTCCTAATTTAGATAAAGAAGAGCTTTACTGAAAATTATATACTTTATCAGAATTTCTCATGGTGTCACAAATACTATGTGTAACTATTTTATGCTTTTACCTAATTTTTTAGGGTAACTAGTGTCATAGATCATCATAAGAAAAAAGTTTTTGCTTAAGCATGGGATAGCCCTTAAAAGCAGAAAAGCCACACATTCTATCATACTTGTCATTTAGAATTATATTTTTAAAAAAAATTGGAAACTTTTACTTCTGAAACTTGGAAACAACATAAAGTATTGGGTAATTTAAAGAAGTCTTTTAGCTTTGACATCTTATGACCCCTTAGCTTCCCCCCACACACACACTACTTTTTAAGCTTTGTAGAATTCAATTTCAAATAAAATCTCATATCTTTTACCAAACTTCTGATTTGTAACAGGTTAACAGTCTTTCTGGAGAGTGGTGTGAAGCTATTCACAGTTTTATAGCAGAGACCAGTGATGACTTATCCTTTAAAAGGGGAGACCGGATCCTGATCCTGGAGCGTCTGGACGCTGACTGGTGCAGGGGCAGACTGCAGGACAGAGAGGGGATCTTCCCAGCAGTTTTCGTGCATCCCTGCCCAGGTAAGACAACCAGAAGACTTTACTCTCATTGGTGGAGGGAAGCCCGTAGAAACTTCCTTTTCCGTCTGGCTGTGCTCAGATTGAGTTTTTTGTCTACATTTGAAAGAGATGATTCATAAAAGTCATGTAAATTTCATTCACATTCTTTGTTAGAGTTATGAAAAAAAAAAAGATAAAAATGCCCTCACTAAATAATGGTTAATTTTGTCTAATAAACATATTCTGTATAATTTTTCCCTGCTAAGCAAACATTTCTTCATCTTTCTGCAAGTTAAAATAAGTTCAAAATTAATTGAAAATATTATGTTCTGAGAGTGACAAGGGAATCTCTTAAAATGTTTGATTTGTGTTTTAGTCCATTGTCTTTCTATACATTGAATTTTCTATGTCTTCACAGCTGAGGCAAAAAGTGTGCCTGCTATAGCACCGACGGGGAGGAAGGCCAAAGCCATATATGATTTCCATGGGGAGAATGAAGATGAGCTTTCCTTCAAGGTCAGAATGTGTATCTTTTCAAAACTGCATTGAGTACTATAAATTTTGAAATGTCTTCCATCAAAAGGTAGAACATTTAGATAGAATATTGATCATACCTAGGAATGAACAAGTATGGTAGCACATATGGTATGGTAGTCCCAGCTACTTGGGTGGCTGAGGCAGGAGGATCACTTGAGTCTAAGAGTTCTGGGCTGCAGTGCACTGTGCCAGTCGGGGGTCTGCACTAATCTGGCATCTATTGATATATAGTAACCCCGCCCTCCTCTGGGAGCAAGGGACCACTGGGTTGCCTAAGGAGGGGTGAACCAGCCTAAGTCAGAAACAGAGTAGGTCAAAACTCCTGTGCTGATCAGTAGTGGGATCGTGCATCTGAATAGCCACTCTACTCTAGCCTGGGCAACATAGTGAGAACCCATCTCTTAAAATAATAATAATAATAATGTTTTTAAATGAAGAGATCTTACACAATCTTGGATACTAATTCTAAAGGAAGAGATTAGAGAAAGTGAATATGGCAAATAGGGCTGATAATTAATATTTTCAACCAGGTATTTAGTTATTTAGAAAAAGCTTAGCTTAATAACCCCATAATCCCCAAAGTAATTCCTTGTTCCTTGGCCTTACAACATCAGATCTCAGTAATACTGAAGTTTTCATCTGCAGCTCTAGTAAAGGATGATCCTCTATGTGGCCCTCACAGCCAGCTACTGACATGTCTTTGAAATCAATGGAGAAATCAGATGGCACCTGCTACAATTTGCCATTGTAGCATTATAGCCTCATAAGGCACTGAATTCTTATCCACAATAGCATTGAGCAGAGCTTTGCAGATATAGTCCCCAAAGGTTGAGCTACTTTGCAAAGGGTTTTTTTTTGTTTGTCTGTTTGTTTTCCGGAAGCCTAAAATTTAATCTTAATCTTACTTCATCAAAGAAGTACCTTTTATTTTTCTTAAAGTAAAAACAACATTTTCATAATTCTGTTTCCCCAGTCCACAATTGGACCATGGTCAGAGGAAAGCACCCATGGTAGTGTTTTGGGACTGTGCTAGAGGAAGGAGGGTGGTTTTAGTAGTCACTGCTATCAAAATAGCCTATGTCAGACAGTGGTAAATTCCCTATCAATGACGATATTCAGTGTTAGACAAGGATGCTATGGAAAGAATTAAAGCATCAAGGAGTGCTTGGACAAGATGCTGCTTAAAACAGTGAGCACCCAAATAAGGTTTTCATTCGTCTAAAACAAAATGAGGAAAACAAGGCAATACCTGCATTAGGTATGTGCAGGCTCTGGGGGATTGAAGGGGACATGCTGAAATATGTCATTATAAGGTTATTAACTTTCCATTTTGTGATAGAGTTTTCCTTTATTCTGAATGATAGAATATTCTTTTGTCCTTTTTATATTAAAATGTCATTTCTATTATTAAATATTGTTAGTAAATAAGATATTTCTTAGGCCTTAACTATCTAAAATTAAAAATTGATAACACTATATCAGTTCCTTTTTTTAAATGTCTTAATGTTTAAAATCCAAAAGTTTGGAAACCGTTGCCTTATCTTTTTCAGTCTTGAGAATCAGTAACTCAAAATGTATTCCTTTTATTTTTAAATAAAATGTTACTACAAGTGAAGAATCTGAATTCAAACTTTTTAGATATTTATTTTTGCCTTCATTTAAGTTATGTCAATATAAACAACAAAATTCACAGTATCCTCCAGAAAAATAGGTTGTCTTCATTTTACAAATGACCAACTGTAAGATAGTTCTGTTGTTTTTTTGTTAAGGGATTCTGCACTGCTTTCAGTATTATTGGTTATTAATATATTATTAAATATCCACAGAGTTTTAGTCAATAGAACTTATTTTAAAAATAGTCCTAGCCCTCTGGAAACTGACATAGTGGTATATAGGTATGGACCAGGCCTAAGAAAAATAGCTTCAGTCAACCATTATGTTATAATTTAGGAACCAAAAGGAAATTATTTATAACAGAAACTTTGAATTGCCAGGATTTTTACAGATTTTAACAAAGTAGACTAATTAATGACATCTGATAGTCAGCATGTTTCTTTTCAATGGAAAGAAAAGACTTCCATAAAGAAAAGACTTAAACCATTTTTTTTTCAGAGGGTAATGTGCTAGGGCTACAAATAAATCCATTTAGCCTGACAAAGATATTCTTAAAAGTAGCCAGGGTCATCTTGAATCATTGTAGAATCTTAAACACAGATTCTAAGAAATAGTTAGAAACTATAAGGAACAAAATAGTTATGTCTTCATCTGCTAGAGGAATTACAATTTGCAAATGAATAAGACACACAGCCCCTTTGACTGACCTGATGAGGATAAATCACTGTTCTGAGTAAAGGTGAAGCTCTCTAAGATGGGAAAAATGCAAATTTGATACTAGAGCCGTGGAGGAATGGAATAAACCAAATGGTAGAGGAGAAATACCATTATATGTGAAATGCTCAGGATGTTGATAAATAGCAATTATAGTGAAAGCCTTTCTAAATAAAAAGGTCCATTGTAAATTATGATAGCCACACAACCTAGTGGTTAGAAATACATGCCCTGGAATCACTAAATTTGAATCCTGCTTCTCTAACTAGACACGCAACGCTGGCAGGTTACATAATCTATCTGGGTTTCAGTTTCCTTTTCTTTAAAATAAGGAACTCTATAAAAATATATCTCTAAAATGAGGATAATAATAGTATCTATCTCTAGGACTGTGGTATTGTTTAAATGAGTTAGTTCCTGTAAAGTACATAGAATAGGACAAGGCATGCAGTAAGCATGTGGCTTACCCTCTCATCTCCAACTCTTTGCTTAAATGTCACCTTCAGGCCCTCCTTGATTGCCCTAATGAGTTGGCAACACCATGCTTTCTGTCCCCTTCTTCCAGCTTCTTTGTCTTCTCACTCTAGAATGAGGCCTTTATTCATTGCTGTATCCTTAGTGCCCAGAGCAGTGCCTGACACATAGTGGGTAAGTAATTGTTAGATGAGAAATACACATATATAATGGCTGTTATTCCTATTTACTCAACTGGGATTTTAAGTTGGGAGTGGTGAATTTGGGATATATAAAATACAAGCAGGAAAACCAATTGCAGCAAGGCTGACAATGCCAAAGGAATGGGCTTTGAGGAAAAGAGGCATACACGCAAATGGCATCATTAGATATAGATCATCTTTGTGATATATCATTTAATCCTCTTGGCAAATCAAGATAAATGACTTATATTAAGAGAAGGTTATTCATGCTTCTCCAGGTAGGCTGCTACTTACCATGCTTATACTCAACAGAAATCAATAATTATTTCCATTTCCTGTCTTCTTATAGGCTGGAGATATAATAACAGAGCTGGAATCTGTAGATGATGACTGGATGAGTGGAGAACTAATGGGAAAATCTGGAATATTTCCCAAAAACTATGTTCAGTTTCTACAAGTCAGCTAAAGGTGAATCTTGACTGTGTTTATTGCCACAAGAACTCACTTGAACTATCACTTTGACTATCAGATATGTTTTTGCACTATTTTTTTTAAATGAAAAAGAAATATCTAAGCTGTACATGGTACACTAGAATTTTCTGAAAGCAGAAAACTTCTAGATTTTGTAGTTAGCTTTCATTACAGTAGAAACATGCACATGGAAACCCATGAGCTATGATTCTACCAAGGAAAGTATCTAGCAGGATTAGCAAGGGAGGCACATTTCCGCAGGGAAAGCATCTGGTGACATGGCAGCACAGGGAAGCTCACAAGCAAAAGTTGCACTTGGACATCTATTTTAATCAGCACAAGTGAATTAAATGTTCTTCATTTTTTACTTTTGTTTAAAAAGAGGATGTTTGACATTCTACATCATGTAACTATCAGGACATGGTTGGTAATCTAAATTTCATTTTTGATATTCAGATTAATTCTTACAGTTTGAATGCATTAGCCTTATTACCAGGGCTAGTCTTTCCTTCAGGAGAGATCTTTTAATGACTAGTTGGAGCATTTGTAAGCACATAGTGAAATCAGTTCATGCTCACCAAATGCTTCTTGTGTTACTGTGTTTTCCATTTGTCCAAGGATGTGAAGGTGGTCAAAATGTGATGTATCTTACCTACTCAAAAGAACCAAAAGCATCCCTGAAATGCCTTGCTAATACAACTAACCCTTCCATATACATGCTATACTTATTTCTTTCCTCAATGTATACTCTATGTTAACAGGGTTATTATAAAGCATACTTTCTGAATCTGCAATCATTCCTTTGACAATTACTGGTACCCAAAGGAAAATTCATTTTCTTTGCATTACCCCAGTAATATATAAAAGCTGTGTCTTGTTATAGTAGTGCATTATGGATCACAAATAATATCTTAGAATACAGAACAGCTGTTAAGATGGAAAACAATGTCAAATCCCCAAAGCTCATTTCTTTACAATATAATCAGAATGAAAAATAATTTAAGAGGACTGAAGACTGGTACTTTTTAATTTTTTTCCCTAGCTCATCCCTGCATAATTATTAGAGAAAATAAAAAAAAAACACTTTCTTGCTATCCATTGTTGTACATTCTAAGCTTAAGATAAAAGTGGTTCTTTTCATGACTGATTCAATTACAGTTTATGGGCTAAAGCCAAATAGCTTGAAGACAATCTTCCAGACAGATCAATGGAATAGAATTTTATTGGAAATGTAAAATACTTTCCCAACAATGTTCATGACTTTCTTCTATTTTGAGAAGAGTTTCATATGCTGGACTACTTTTTAGCTTTTGGTGTTTTTTTTTCCCATCGTCCAAAAAGTTATGCCATCAGTGGTTACACCATTATGGGAACACCACATGGAGTTCTGTAAGGAAGGCAATATTTACTTTGTATTTTAGTAAAGTACATCTCCCAGTTATGTGGTTACATTTGGTTTTGGAGTATGAGAACTGTTTTTTCTACGTTTGGGGTAAAGAAAAGAGTATAAAGACAATTCTTGTCAAATTTCATTCAAAAGTAATTTCATGAGAAATGGGTGACGCAAAGCATTAGCCAAACTAAATTATCAATTGCAGCAAGCTATACAACAGCAAGAAGGGGGTGGGGACATGGATTGGAACAGGAAGTATATTGTCTTTGCCTGTGTAATTTTAACATCTTATATTGAAAATTCTGAAAACCTGTTTTTATTGGAGAAAAATATCCCCCTTAAATTTTGACCTTCTGTCAGCAGAATGATAAGTGCAATAGTTGTAAATCTACTTGACACTATAATAAACTGAACCGAACTTACTTTTTTTTTTTTTTTTTTGGTGTGGGCGGGGGTCTTCCGATGAGGACCAGAAAACCTGCTAGGCAAATTCTGAAAGAGCTGAAACTCTGAACTGAACTTTCAAAGTCCCTTTCTCCTCATATAAGACTGAGTTTTTTAGAATGGAAATGGTTTCTTATTTATTTTTATATCTCCAGTCCTTAGTGCCATTCAGATTCAAGGTTGGTTTGTTGGATGGGTGAATATATAGCAATACCATTTGGATACACTCAATATCTTTCCTTTTTAATTTGTGGACAAAAATCTATATTGAAACAAAATTCATAGTTTTATGTCATTTCACTCTGTCATGCTCTATTTTTTGCTTGTCATTTATTACCCACTCACCTGACAGGAAGAAAAATGTAACATATAGGCTTTCATAGGTGCTTTCTTCTTTTGTGTATTGATTGAATTCAAGGAAAACTCAACCATGTTTAAAGAGAAACATAATTCTATTCTCAGTGAATTTCATCAGGGAGAAATAGGAATGCATTCTGTTTCCTTTCAGGAATTTTGGGTTAAAACCTGATATTGTTCATCAAAGCCTCCTCAAACTGGAATCTCTGAATCTTCGGTGGGTTAAAACTAGAGAAACCATTTATTATATTATTCTTATCGTTTTGAACACTAGAAAACAGCATATTTCTTTCTTTCTTTTTTAAATTAAAGTCTTACATTTTTCTTCCACTCCTCCCTACTCTTCCTGACACCATATTTCTTTAAAAGATACCCTTGTTTACATGGCTTGAGGAGTAATGGAATATATCTGCCATTGTGCTCATGGAAGTCACAGGTCATGAATACAATCTGTAACATTCAGAATGAAAGAAATCAGTGCATTTATCAAAATTTATTGTTAGAACTGACATTTGGGGAAAAATTTTTTTTCTGTAAGATTGTAAATCAATACCCTTAATAATCATTATTTAGTTTTTATTTAGTTTCCTCATCTTGGATAAATACCTAGAGGAAATAGGAATGGATACATGGACTAATTATAAGGGACTGTTCACTCTGGTATAATCATTAATGGTTTATTCCTTTTAATTAGTGTCAAATGCACATGAGCCATGTGATTCATGATTCAATGCCATTTTGAATACCATGGAGTGAATTCTTAATAGTGAACTTTTTCAGAACTAATGGGAAATCATTTTCTAACCTATGCCTTTTTCACTCTAATATAGAAGGGGAGAAAAAATACAAATCCTGACCCAGGACAACACCACCATCTAGGGGCCTCTCACTTAATTGCAAGCTCATCTTATTAAACCTCAGAAGAGTCCTTGGGTACCAGAGCTCAACTTGCAGAGGTTAAATTATTTGCCTAAAGTCACAGTTACTGGCAGAGCCTAAAGTAAAACCTAGCCCTACTGATTCGCAATCCAGTATTTTTTCCACTTATTATGGCAATGTGATGCATTTCTCTTTAGCAATTAAACAAGTAGAATTGATCTGTTTTTATTGGCTATAAAGGTTGCAACTTCTCATACAATACTTGTGATAAGAAAGAGTTGCACAGAATAAATTAAAGGCTTGAATTTTTCTCTTTCAAGAAGAAAAGTCCTGGCCAGATGCAGTGGCTCACACCTGTAATCCTAGAACTCTGAGAGGCTGAGGCCGGAGGATCGTTTGAGGTCAGGAGTTCAAGACCAGCCTAAGCAAGAGTGAGACCATGTCTCTACCAAAAATAGAAAAAATGAGTTGGGTGCACACTACCACACCCCTCTACTCAGGAGGCTGAAGCAAGAGGATTGCTTGAGCCCAGGAGTTTGAGGTTACAGTGATCTATGATGACGCCATTACACTCTACCCAGGGCAACAGAGTAAGACCCTGTCTCAAAAAAAAGGCGTGGGGGATGTCCTGTCAGCTTCTCAATTTTAATGTAGGCAGTTTATATAGATATCACCTAGAAATTCAAACATGAACAGATCTACTAATGGGAATTCCTTTTTCTATTGAATAGGAAATATTTGAATGCTTGGAACATCAGGTCTTATAAAGGTGTGTCTGTAGGCTGTGCTCTTGGTAAGATCAGAGCAACATTAAACCTAGGTTTTCATATAAATGTAACACAAAGGTCACTGAGACCAAGGGCTAAAGCTGAGAGACTGAAAAAAATGCAGACCACCGGGGCACTGCTCATTTCATCAGCTCTGATCTGCTGTTGCACCAGGGGTCTGATCTGGCCTGTGTCTGCCTCCTTCCTGAACAGCCAGAGAATTCATCTAAACCTGCCTACAGCAGCTCCCTACTCCAGGTGGCCAGACAGCAGTTCCAGACCAGTGTTGTCTTCCAGGACCTTGATACAGCGGCCAAGTTTATTGGTGCTGGGACAGCCATAGTTGGTGTGGCTGGTTCAGGGGCTGGCATTGGAACAGTTTTTGACAGCTTGGTCATCGGCAAGCTGCAGCTCTTTTCCTATGCCATTCTGGGCTTTGCCCTGAGGATATGAGGCTCTTCTGTTTGATGGTCACGTTCCTTATCCTCTTGGCCACATGAGGCTCCATGGGGGTCACTTACCTGTCCCTGCTGCTGCGGCTCTATGCCGTTCTTGGTGCTGGAGTGTGCTACACTTTACCATTGAATACAACATTGCTCTCTAAAAAAAACAAAAAACAGATGTAGCATGAAACACAGTTTTTATTATTTTGGAGTCTCAGAGATTAACCCAAACACTGTTAAACTAACACATTTATATTTCAAACTCTGGGATGCATTCTGGATTTTTTTTTAAGGGAATCATAATTGTATGTATGCCACTGCAAATTAGGCAATAATTCAATGAAATATTTTTTAGGAGAAGTAATGAATTCAATTCATAACTCAGAAAGGAATTTTAACTACTGATTATCTGTCTACAATTTAACAAACATTGACTGACAATCTCAATACTAAATATTGGCCTATATTTAGTGCTTCTTTAAAATTTTTTTTTTTTTTTTTTTTTTTTTTGAGACAGAGTCTCACTCTGTTGCCCAGGCTAGAGTGAGTGCCGTGGCGTCAGTCTAGCTCACAGCAACCTCAAACTCTTGGGCACAAGCGATCCTCCTGCCTCAGCCTCCCTCGTAGCTGGGACTATAGGCATGCGCCACCATGCCCGGCTAATTTTTTCTATATATATATTAGTTGGCCAATTAATTTCTTTCTATTTATAGT